TTGCCACAACCGTACTCCAAGATTCTTGGGTTGGTTTTGGGACAACTTCAGCTTTTGGAATGCTCCAGTTGTACTCAGTTCCCACCAACTCCAACACCCTCAAGAATTGGTCCATCCCACACCGTCACTCACCGTCACTCGTCCCTCATCCCTCATCGTGCCGTCCAAGGCTCACATGCGACGCCTTTGGCGTGCTTCCGCCCGTGTCCAAGCTCACGCCCTCACAGGCCATGCAGCTCGGAGCACGTTGCGCCGGTCTCGGCGTAGCCGGCAGAGCGCCGGTCTTGCCGGTGCGTCTTCAATGAATGAAGTGATCACAATATACTAATATCCATAATATATATAGTATATAATTTGATATGCATATAATATATGTATGTTTGGGTGTCAAGATGTCGTGATAGCTGCTAGGGCTAGGATGTTACTTGGGGGTGTTGATGCCCCATATAATGAGTTTCGTTTGATGTATAGTAAGCGAATTCAAACACCAGATGCCCGCCCCTGCAATCTTTGAGAAGAAACGTGTTGAGAATATTTGCATTGTTTTGCACCATCTACTTGGAACTCCGCCGTGCGAGTGCTCAGGTATCACTTCATCTCAGGCTACACTGCTAAGGTCGCTGGTACTGAGGCGGGCGACTTTGAAATGCAGCTGGTCTAGTTGATGGGGTTGCCAGCTAGACGTAGATGAACGTTCATTTGATGTGCTGGCTGCCCATGGGAAAATGTTTTAAAAGCAATGACCAGATCACCAGTAAACCAATGTAAACCATAGGTTTTGCAATGGTTTTCCCTTCGCAACATAGGAGCCAGCTTTGTCACCCCAAGTCGCGACCGCCGACCTCGCCAGATGGGCATCAGTGAGCCGACCGCGACCTTCTCCGCTTGCTTTGGAGCTCCTTTTATGGTGTGGCACCCGGCCAAGTATGCTGAACTGCTGGCAGAGAAGATCCTCGGTTGATGCACGGACGAGAAGATCCTGTTTCGTTGGTCAAACTGGTTCATGCACCGACCTCATGGTGCGTCGGTGTTCGTGACCTGAAAGGATTTGGAACGCGTAAATGCAAGAAATTCACATCCTTTGCCCAAGCTCATATCGGTTGGCCGACTACAGTATAGGTGCTGTGGGTCGTGTGAATCGGTCCTTTTTGACCATCGCCTGGTGATGCAGGATGGCCAAGCACAACGTGAACGCTTGGTTGATCAACACTGGCTGGACCGGAGGTGCCTTTGGCTCTGGCCACCGCATGAGCCTCAAGGACGAGTTCGTGTCTCAGAAGGTGATGATTCTTTCAGGTGCAATATATAGTTTACCGTGGTAAACCACGGTTCATCCTACACCCACAAGTGAGTGGACCGGCGACGGTTTTTTGCTGTAGGAAGTGGGTCTTCGGCAGGGTTGCTGTCCCTTTCGCGACCTCAATGAATAATTTTGTCGATTTTGGGTTTTTGCCGGATGTCCAGGATGTCCTTTGTTGATCTTTGTTGATGTTTTGCCTTGATCCAACCAGAAAGGGGCGGGGTGGGGGACCCTGAAACACAGGGTTTCACAAGAAAGGTTTCAAGTGACAATTGTTAATTTCTGGTCTTGGATTTGGGGCGCGTAAATATCCAGCATCACTGGCAAGGGATCCTTGAACTTGAACAGCACTTGCTACTAGTAGCGGTGGCCTCCAACCTAGTAGCTTCTTGCTACCAGTAGTAATGCACTTGTTGCATAGGCCAGTCATGTCGAACTGTCTCTTTGGGCCAGGACACCCGCGCCATCATCGATGCCATCCACTCCGGGGATTTGGCCAAGGCGGAGTACGAGAACTTCCCCAGGTGCCTGGACGTGTGTGCTGTCCATGGGTTTGGCAGGGTGATGCTTGAAGATCCTGTTTCCACCAAAGCTTGGGTATTGATGCTTGACCTGTGGAGGGTGGCAGTGGCTGCGGGTGTTCTCCAACTCTTTGTTGCAGGCAATTCTCACGTCCACATGCAGAGACCGAGCATGTCAACTTCAAAGTGTCCAGAAGAGCTGTGAGATTGCCTTGCAATGCTAGGTTTGACTTGATAAACTTTTTGCTCTAGATGCATGAGCTGTGATTGCATAATAAGTCATAACTTGTTCTAGCATGTTCTAGCCAAATATGTGTGCACTTATGTTTGCTTCAGTCATTTTGAGATAGTTTTCCTCCAAGAATCCTTGGTCACTTGCGGAAATCCGTTTCATCGGAGGTTTAATTTGCAAGTGCCCAAGACCTGCCCCAACGTGGATGCCAAGATCTTGCCACTCGGTGACCACCGGGATCTCGGTTCCCTTTTGGTCGGTGGCCGCTGGTCCGTTTCCGAGCATCCAATGGTTGTGCTGTCGGCTGCCATCATGTTCAGCCATTCTGTTGCATCCTCCTCTGAGTACGTAAGGAGCCAATTCTGGTTTACATGCCACTTCTATCCAATTCTGGTTTACATTTCACTTCATGGGCGAGCAGCAAAATGTCCGAGACACCCCTACAGTTGATCTTCGCTTAGCTGTCCAACCATGTTGTTGATGCCACACAATTGTTGGAACGGAGTGTGGAGGGGATGGGCCTTCCAAGTAGGTTTCCATTTGTTTTAGAGAGACCAAGGTTTGGCCTTTCCTTTGAGACCTAAAGTTCCCAATCCTTCCTTGCCACTGCTAGGAAGGAGTTTCTCACAATTTTTCGGCACATGCGCATTTCAGACTCTGACCCAGGATGCCGAACAAGACCTGGTCAGATCAAGCTGAATTCGAGAAGATGTCGGCCAAGTTGTCGGGGCTCTTCAAGGACCTGAGCGCACTCTTCAAGACTGCACACCCCAGCCGATGCCGACATCTCGTATGCAGTCATCGGAGCGTGTCTCAAACATGCTGAGGGGGGGAATGGAATGGGAGGTGCATGCTTTGGTCATGCTGCATTCATGACATGACGTGTTTTGTAATTCTAAGATGTTTTTCATGCGGCATGTTTTTAGGGAAAGTGACTCGGGAGAAGAATTAATGAGTTACTGTGTTATTAAATATACAGGAAAGCAGTTTTAAAGAAGCAGCCTGAACCGAACCTTCCCGGGGTGGCCCTTCCTAAAGGCAGACATTTCCGGGACTATAGCATGATATAGCATTCATATCACAAGAGAGAGCATAATTTATGGTGACTCAGCCATGGAGGCCTACTACTAACCGGCTTTTTGTTTTCTATATATATATATATTAATATATACACGTGTTATTGGCAGCTGTGCAATGGGAGTTCTGAATCACATATTTATGGATGATCTACTCTATACAATGCGACAAACACCGCACTGGGCCAGGAGAACTTCACCAAGTTCCAAGAAGGGTGCTCTGAAGACATCAGGGCAGCAGCTCCACAGTAGAGTCGCACTTGATGCATATTTGGCTTTTTTGGCTAGCATTTGGCAGCTATGCCGTATAGATTTAAGATATTGCCATGGTTTTTAGGCCTTTCAAGGTCCATGGTCTGAAGATACATGAGCTTGATAGCGGTATTTGGGCCGTAGACCTTCCCCATCACCTTCAGGGGCCGCAGTGGGCAGGGAGGAGGAGGCCTAGGCATAGGTGACCAATTATTCAGTATTGATAAAACACAAGAAACACAAGTTGAGGGACATTTAACCTCAAAGTAACCCATTTGGTTTCTCTCTCACTTCTCACGCTACTAGGAACAAGTGCCTTACTACTAGGAACAAGAAGCTACTAGTAACAAGTGCCACGCTACTAGGAACAAGTGCCTTACTACTAGGAACAGGAAGCTACTAGTAAGTTGAGACGACGCTCCGTGGGCCGTGCGGACTCGTCGAGACGCTCCGTGGCCGTGGGCCTGGCAGATGGCCGCCCACGACACCGATGCGCGAGGGTGGGGCGAGGCATGTGGGCGTGACACGAATGGAGCAACTACTGCATGTAGTGAGACTCATCGACTAATTCACCCTAATTAACACATGTTTGTGCCTGCCAAGTAATGTGGATTTAATAGGTTTTACTATGGTTTATTGTATCTAAGAATCACGGTGGTTATATGGTCACAGGAGAAGTATCGACAAGTGAATGTGAATCGTTTGACTAGGAGTAGCTGAGTGAGTAGCTGATCCAGGGGTGAGCTGATCCAGGCAGGTTGTGGGGGTTCTTTGGGTTTGAGTTGATGGACTATGACGTGGATAGATTTGCCTGGCGAAGACTCACGCTAGGAATTTGAGGCAAATTGCTTGTTGAATGAGGGCTCACATCCCTATGTCAAGCAGGTGTGTAGAGGTGGTCCAACATCTTCCAAAGGACAGTTAATCAAAGGACAGTTAATCAATCTTCCTTGGGCCTGCAGAAGAGTGTGCTAGCACTCTTCTGCATTCAACACCCCGGTGTGGCAGGTCTTCTGGGGCAGTGAACAGACAGGTCATTGACGTGTGGTGTTTTCACGGCTTCCCTTCCAATCACACTTCAACTCTGAAATTCTAGCCAGTCAGTCGGGAACGTGGAGTCAAAGGACCGCCGGCTTGTGAAAAAGAATAAAGAACCAGGATGTTCACGGACTCCACATGCCAAGCTCCTCCTCGGCTTGATGGACACCACTTGTGCAGTTTCGTTTTGTTTGACCCGAAGCGGCCTCTTTTGTTCGGCGGATTTCAATGGCCGGTTTGATCAGTAGACCATCGATAGCGGAGAAAAAAGAGGTTGCCGTTGGAGAGGTCCAGTGATCATTTGTTTCAGCACCCCATGAGTGCTGGTCGGAACCAATTTGATGGTCCAAACCCTCACCCCTCAGCTCGTGAGCCAAGATGTTAGCAGGATGAAGTCCTGAGATATGTATCATCCACTGGGCCCTGGTAATGGGATATACCGAATGAATACCATTATAATCATTATATATTCAGTTATGAGCCATGGACTTGTTGATAGTCAAGAGGCACGATGATGCCATCGTTTACGTCCTGTGTTTCAACGCTGGCTTTGAGATCTCCCCTTATTGGCCCACTTGGACATGGCGGGCGTACGGGGGGGGGTAGAAGGCACTAGCATACTGGACAAAGCTCTTGAACATCCAAAGGAACAGATGCCGGGCATTGACTTCCTCGTGGGTTTGAGCATCAGAGCGATGGTGATGGTGGTCAATTGCTTAACCCATGTTCGAAAAGTGCGGTGCCGGTGCTGTGTCTTCGAGAATCTATCCCCGGCTTGTGCACCCGTTTGCAGCGGTCAGATGGTCAGTTGATCCATCGGTCCTAAGGGCGTAGAGTCACGGTGAGTCCTGTTTCGGGCTGTCGCCACCTGTGGCCAGAGGCCGAGATCATCCAGCTCATAGAGCAGGTGAAGCAAAGCTGCTTGAAACATGAGCTAGTGCTGCTTCCGGTGCTGATTCCGGAGCTTCAGGCCAGACACGACACGACCAGGTCCAAGTCAGTCTCAGGTTTTCTTTAGGTCAGGTGTTGTCTTTGGTGGGTGTAGCTCGCAGAAGTCTGAGTACGGGCATGTTGTGCATTTGACAAGTTAAGGGTCCTTGGTTGGATTTCTGGTCCCGGAGCTATTACCAAGGCCTCACTGGCAAGCGAGGCACCAGCACCCCTTCTGTACTATTCTGTACTTAATTATGCCAGATGGTGTGAAAGCGTGCTCCGTGGATCTCCTGGAACATTTATCCTGGCATAAACGGATGCATTTGAGGAAAATACAATGGACTACCCTACACTGCTTAGGACCTCCAGCCAGGACACGCCGAAATCTTCCGATGGATATATAGTGCAGGATCCACGCGTGGGCTGGAACGGATGGTCCAGTGCATCCAGTTTTGCTTCCCAGGGAAGTTTGACAGAAAAAGAACGACAAACCACTTTTTGTAAGCATCCCCATCAATCCCGCAAGTAAACATAGCAAATCATTAGCAGCAAACTGCTTCTTTCAAGATTTTCTGATTTTCCTGGAACCTCAACTTCCGTGTTGCAAGCTGCGGTCCAAAATGGGCTCCGAAGTGGTTCCGGCCAGGTGGAACCGGTTTCGGGAGCCAACCGGTTTGGCCAGGTAGAGACCGAAGCTCGCTGGGCCCTGCAGCGCTCTTTATGGGACAAACCCTGGTTGCGCGGAGTGGCTCAGTCCCTTCTGAGCGCCTTCCAGGCGCTGGTGGGCACCGTGTGATCTAGTGGGGTGGATCATCCCAGCTTGGAGGTGGCATGAGGTGGCTCGGTGGATCATTCGGAGTCTAGGACCTATAGGAGTCAACTAGGTCTTCAAGTGAAGTGGTCTTGTTCCTTTGGTTTCCTTTCTGTTCCGGCAATGGGTGGTTGAAGTCTCCTCTCACTTGCCAAAAGCTCCTTCACTTGCATATGTTCCTCGCCTGGTCGCGTTTGTGAGTTGATGTGACTTGGGCATCATGTCTCACAAAGCAGCACAATTGCTTGCACCGCTGGCCTGGAGGGTATCATCAATTGTATTTCTTGCCCTTGTCAGGGGCGAACCTGCAGATGACGCTGTCACATGCAGTCACAAGCACATGACTGGTTGATCGTCAGTCGTCAGTATCAGGAATCCACGGGCCTCGCCACTACCCCACTCAAGAATCATTCCGAATCAGGGGGTGACTTAGTGGGTGACTTCAAGACGGACCAACCAACCTGCAACGGGGTGGGGCCCACGCCACTGCGCCACTGTGAGGGCGAAGTAGACCTTGAGGCAGCTTCAGCTAAAGGCCGGTGGTGGAGAATAGCCGGGCATGTGGTGGACAGCTTTTGAGGAAAGATTATAGCTACTTGGATTTGGGAGGTTCTTCTCACATCGCACCTGTTTAAGTCTAAGTCCGTTCAGTTGTGGAAATCGAACATCCATGAGGCACATCGAAAGTGTGAACTACTTGGTTTTTCAGAGGCCGGGGTGCACCTTTTTCCTACCCAGTCAGTGGACTTCCGTATAACCTTTCACCTTCTTTGGAGCTTTTTCCCCACAAAAAAACGAAGAGGTGGAAAAAGGTTCTGGTTGCGCAGTTTGCACCATAGCCTGTACATGGTTGACACCAATGCTATGGGTCTTTCTATCTCAAACAACTGGGGGAGAAACCGGGCTTGCCGCCTTTTGCCCTGGCGTCCACCGGTCGACCGGTACCTCTTGCGACGCCAGGCGAGCAGCGGAAGCTGCAGAAGCTCTTAAAGAGACACACCTTGCAGCTGAGTCTTGAGGAGATGAAAGAAATTCTGAAAGCCTTGGATAAAGGCGGGGCAAGGAGGGTCTGGGTTGAAACCGCAGCATGTTTGGCTGTGAAAGGGTGATGAAAGGCCCGTATTTACACCAAACGTTGGACCTATAGCCTGAACATGAGAGGCTGAAAGTTCACGCCGGATATATCCAGATATATTATTGTGTGTTAAATGGCTCCTGGTCCCTGCAAGAAAGGCAATCCACCTGATAGATGCTTGCCGTATGCAGCTTTGCAGTTCAGATGATGACATTGTTGGCCTGGTCATTCTAGGTACCGATGTTCTAATGCGAGTGGTGATCTCATGCCTTTTGAACATGCAAGATCATGGGTTCTTGAAAGGCGTTTGTCCATGATGCCAGCTCGCAGGCATCAGCGATGAGATGGTTGACTTGGTGTTTGGTGCATTGAGTACCTCAAAGGGTACTGTGGACATCGATACACTTCTTCAATGGCTGTTCCAAGATCAGCTCCTATAGGGTCCGCCACATGCTGCGCAATGCTGCGCTCACTGAAGACTGGTTTGAGGTCCGTTGGCAGGCAGTCCACCTGTGTACGGGTTCCTAGTGGCATTAGTGTATTCCTTTGCAAGCCGGGGGGCGTGCAAGCACACTGGACCGGTCCATCCACAGCGATTAATCCCAGATGCTCCAGGTATATTGAAGGATTATATGCCATTATATGCCCACATTGATTCATGAAACCACCCCAATGTATACAGTAAGTACGACATATATATTATATATATATGTATAATATATATATACACACGTAGAATCATGTAGAGTCTGGGCTTTCAACTCTTGGGTAAGATGTCCATCATGGTGGGATTGACCCCACCGCAGTCACACCCGACAGCTTGTTTGAGTTTTCTCTGGAAAGTTATGCAAAAATATATTTAGATTTAGATCTATACATATATATATATTATACATAGTATACATTTGTATACACTATGTTATAAATATACATTTTTCAGACAAACATCTCTTGAACGAGAGATCTATCGCATGCACCCCTAAGGGCTACAGGGTCAGTCCGTTCTTTTCAAAAGAATGAACCACCAGAACCGCCTTTGGTGACTTCTCGGCGGACCAACATTAACATAGATGTGCCAAGGGGCCGTACCTGACGGCCTTGCGGCGCAGAGGGCGGGCCGTGTTCACGGCTGCATGGAAAGTGCAAACGGTCATGGTAGAGAGGGTGGTCTCAGATTTTGATGCAGAATTCACATGTTCACTTAGGTCTTAAGTCAGACGTTCTGGATGATTTAGATTCCGATGATCGAGAATATCCACTTAATTCAAACGTTTGGATCCTAAGCGGATATTCATGGGTGATCGGGGCCAAACATTCTTGTTTGTTTGGACGCTTGGACTACCTTGGACTTTTCAGAAAACAAACGGATGCCAGGGTGTTGCCAGGCCTCGCCCGAAGGCCCCAGCCACACCCCAAAGTCGGGAGTGGCGCGTGGTTGAGGGTACTCCAGCGGTAGGTGAGTGGCTCACCGGCAGAGGTCCAGATGAAGCAACTCACGGGTTGGTGGTTGGTCCAAATGTATGCATGGACTATACTATGACTCTGACACATTAGGACATTGTGACCCGAATGTAGCTCATCAGCGTCTTTGGGTGCCTGATCTGTGTCCTGGTGGGTGCATGAAATTGGGGTGTCCTAACAACACAATTTTCAGGGAGAGGGGTGGCTCAAGCATTTCCCAAGCCCGATGACCGTCTCATGACAGTTTGTTCAGCCCCCGAAGCTTTGGGAGCTGTGTTTCTTTCGAGGCAGGACGTCCGAGGGGTATTTAATCAGAATCTCAGAATCAGATTCTGAAGGACTTCCAAGTCCTAGAGCCGGCCAGAGAAGATTCTTTGGATTCTATTGAGGATCATTTGCTGGGAGTCACCCGAAATATGAGCAGATCCATGCCACCTGGGCCAAGCAGTTAAACTGCTCTTGGGAACGGTGGCTTTTCAGCGACCTGAGTCTTTGAGCGATGGCTGATTGACACCGGATTGGCCAGGCTCTAGAAAACCCAGAGGTCACCTCAAGAAAAGGGCCACAGCGGAGCTTGAGGAGGGCGGCTTAGCTCGGTGAAATCGCTCCTGAGAGGAGGGACTGTTGAGGCTCAGGCCCTGCAGGTGTCCTCATTTGGTTTGGGATGTCAAGGATCACACCTGGCGACCTGGCAGCCAATGCGGATTTCCGGGGCTGCTCGAACCGTTCGAGCCGTTTCATGCAATGGGATTGGAGGGGAAGAGACTCGGAGAGGGAATATGAATAAGATATCCACCGACTTGCACAGTGCTATAGGTGTTATGAAGGGCCAACAATTGTTATGATGTTCAAAGACGTTCAAAGAACTGTCCGGCAGTGCGACGAGGTATGCTAGAACTAGCACACATTCAACGAACTCCTCAAAAAAAGGCAAAGCTGTATGTTCACATCTTCATAAATTGTTTATCCTGCCATCCATGTCATCGTTTTCGACATCTGCAACATGAATACCCCACATCACAAAACTGTTTCACTGCTTGCTCGACTTGGCAGGGGAAAGAGCCCAACTCACCAACGCGATCCATGGCAGGTCTTGTGACTCCTCAAATTGGAATCCTTTGAAACCTTGGCCATCCTTGGCCTAAGATCACTCTTTTGTGACCCCAGATGCAGCATGCATGATCCTTTCCAGAGCCAGAGCTGACCTGTGTGGTGAGAAAGACTTAGGATCCTGGTGCATTCTGTGACCTTCCATGCGTTCGAAGAATCGCGCCTTTCGAAAGCCATGCTGGCTCCAGCCCACGATGCGCTATCCATCCGAGGGCCCCAAGCCCGTCAGGAGCGAAGCACGACGCCGCCACACGGCACAGCGCAGCACCCTGCGGCGCAAGCCATGACGTCGAGCGGATTAGACACTTTTGATTTGCTGGGCTTGGATGCTCCAGCCCAAGTTGTGAAACCGGTCACCAGTGCGCCCACGTCGACGTTGCTAGATGTGGACCCAGTGGCAGGGACCAGTACAACAGGTGCGATGGTGAACATGGGGGAGGACCAAGCCTCCCATCCAAGTAGCTTGGAGATAGAGAGTGGAAAGAGATATGTGGTCCGCTGTGAAGGGCGCTGGCGAGTGAGATCGGCACCCTCATTGAATTCCAAAGTCATTGGCATCATCGCGAATGGCACCATTGTCTTCGGTGAGGACTGTAGTGGGGAGGTCCACCCTGAGACCTCAGTGCAGGACATGGAAGGATTGATGCAGCAAGATGAGAGCATCGAACCTGAAGTGCTTCAAAAGGCCTCTTGACAAGATCCATCAGATTTTTCTTAGTTGGTGCTGGTCGCCAAAACCACCTATACTAGGTGGTTGCAACAGGTGTTTTTGGATTTGCTTCTGGTTCCCTTGCCGCTCGTGGTGTCCCACCATGCTAACTGTTGGCTTCCTGGGACACCGAGGCTTTGGGAAGCCTGACAGCTCTTTGGGTCAAAGTCACGAAGCTCGAAGCACAAGAGCCTATGGGTGTCTCGGACATCAAGCGTGACACTGCCACTGGTGGAGGCATCTACTGCCTACGGCGGAATGCGGTCGGTTACGGGCTATATCAGGACTGGTTCTGGCAGGTTGGCCTTGGAGGCCGTGATGCCTGCTAGTTCAGGTTTTAACACTAGAAGTGAGTCTTGTGCTCCATTCAATCTTTGATTCTTGCTTTAGCAGTTTGTCGTTTGGAGAAGGAATTCTGGCCGGCAGCCCCCACACCCAGAGGAAGAAGCGACAACCACAAAGAAGCAGCAAGCAGCCAGGCCCAAAGCACCGTGTAGCACTCACTACCCAGAGCTTGCAGAATCCCCTCAGCGCTTGCAACCCTTGGGTCCGCCAACAGACCCAACGCCAGGTCACCAACTTCATACCCGAAGCCACCACCGCCAGCCCCACAATTCCCATGTCCAACCCCCATCACCGAAGCAACAGCAGAACCGATTCCCAGCCCTTTCTTGCCCGCAGCCAGCCGTCCAGGTTGCCAACATCACTGCTCCCCTTGTATAGCCTTCTTGCAAATAAATAAATATATATATATATAATATATATAAATTATATGTTGATCAAAATCTTGATCAGAGTGAAAGACCTCAGGAGAACGCCGAGCCCTTGACCGGTCCCTTGATTCATTTACCTCCTGGCCTTGGCTTGGAGCTCCGCCTGGATGCCCAGCGTGCGGCCTCGGAGCGCACCGAGGACGTGTCCTTGACCTGGAAACTGCTGGGCGCAGCGGAGAGCCTGGGACGCCTCTTTGGGAGTGATGAGTCTGGCTTCAGTGAGGACGGGTTTGTGAAGAGTGGAACGGAATGTGAGATAAATTGTCATTAGACATATACATTGAAATATGTGAAACATGTCAAACTTAAATAGTTCTATTGTTTGTTTTGGTGTCCTTTTGCGATATTAAGTTGCTTTCATGCATACTACACCACGCTTCGCTAGTCCCCCCTTGGGCCACCCGGATGAACGCGATGGTCGTCACCCAACCTTTTTTCTCCTCCAACTGTTCAGGACATCAAGACTCCGTCGAGGAGGCGGCCAGAGGATCTCTTCGAGTTGAAGCTTGCTGGATTTATGGACCTCACAAGGTTGCAAAGGCTACAGAAAAGGCACCAATCAGCCCCCACAAAAAAGCAGAAGAGGGTGTCATTCCAGGGAGGTTGACATGGAGTTAGAATATGCGAAGTGGCTGCTCAACGACATGCTCAACAACCCTGAACATCCAGTTGACCCAGTTCAAGCTGGAAACCAATTGTGCAGTCGGGTTGCATCCATTCGTCAATGCGGGTCAATGTCCAGGGCTCGCCGGGAACGTCCCCTTTTCGGGTCGAACGCACGCCTCAGGAAGCAACGCGATCAGCTCAAGAAGGCGCTCTCGTCCCTGCGGGCGCCCCTCGTTGAGCTGGTGGAGAAGGCCAAGGAAGGGCACCACGAAAGCCAGGCGGAGCGACTGGGTGTTTGTCAGATTGAAAGATGTTGAATTTTCAATATGGAGCAATATGCATTGCAACAGTCAATGCACCATTATGCAATACTGACCATTTTATAGAATCATATACTATATATATATCTATATACATGTAAAGCCATAAATTGGTGTGTCATGCAGTTGAAGGGTTCATTGGGCGCAGTTTATATGCTACGCTACACTCTGTCGATTCGGTACCCTCCGACCGTGATGCTCCCGTGCTCGACCGGCCGAGGCCTTGCTGACGACCTTGCCACGCGATCTCTCGCGGCAGTTCGCTCGCCTGCGCAGCTCAGTCCTGGCGGCCCATGCAGAGGCCAACTCCTTAGTGGTGCGGCCCATGCAAGAGACCGAGGAGATGGATGGAGGGGAGGTTGGGAGTCGGGTTCTCCAGAGGTGTTCGGGAATTGTACCTCCAAAGCTTCTGGAAAGGGTCATAGATTCTAATGGTACTGGGTGAAAAACTCGCCTAAATGAACATGTCCAAACACAACTCGCCGTGAAGACATATAGACGTTTTGGGAGATGGAGACCTTTCAAACGAAGCGGTCATTGTTTACAACGCTGTGCACCTCGTAGAACGGCTAAACGGCGTTTTTTTGAAAAACGCGAGGAGAAGAGTGGTGGACCACTGATGGGCAGCATCGAAGAATTGTCCAACTTCAATGCCGCCTGTGAAGCCCTCGAGCGGACGGGTGCTTGGGCATGCTTAGATGCGAAGATTCGACAAGAGGTCATCGCATTTAGCGCCAGCCATGCACAGGAGATCCAGAAACACCTGCGGATACGCTGCAAGGAACTTGGCCACGAGGCCACTCCACAGACTCCGCAGGACACGGGTGTGCTGGATGATCTTTTGGACACGGCTGCGCCCAGTCGTGGTGGATATACATCAACCATGGCTGTCCCTCCTTTATTGCCCCCTCCTCCTGTGTCTTCATGCAGTGTCACGCGCTCCACCTGAAGCTGCAAGTGCCTTCCATCGGATGCCGAAGGCGTTTCCGAACCGCCAGATCTTCACCCAAATGTGGAAAAAGAATGTCCGCAGAGAAGCAGTTGGATTTAGTGTTCGTGAAACAGTGAAAACGTGCTTGGTGCACATTGTTCGCAGATAATTGAATGAGCCTTTCCCTGCACTGGATCCCCAAAGGTCCAGAATTCCACCACTTCGTCCTGTTTGGCGGTACTGGTAGCAAGGATTGTGACCGATGCCGCGGCTGCAGCCATTTGAGCGTGATCGACCTGCTTTGCTTCCCGAACGTCTCCCACGTTTTCTTGACCGCCCATGGCCGCCCGAACCAGTGCATTGAGGCGCGTTTTCTCCCTGATCTTCCGGTGAAGCCGAGCGAGCGAACGGGTTGGGCAGGTACAGATCCGGAAAGGATATTGGCGTTCCAAGTCCACATTTCTGGCAGTACTCACTAAAGTTGTCATTTTTGGTGTGTGTGTGTGTGTGTCACCCCCTGTACCAAAGGGTTCAATGCCACTGTTTTCCATTACAACCACTCAACGAGGCAGGGGGCCACAGCTCCATTCATCAGTCTGTGGCCAACGAAGCTACTGATGTCTGGAGAGGATATGAACCTGGGACGCCAGGTACACGTACCTGGAATTTCTCAACGGTTGACACGCCGTCCAATCTTCTTCTTTTTTGTTTCCATGGTGGTTCATGATACCTTCCCCTAAACCTTTTGCCGCTCTCTCATGCAGCTGAATTGTGCAGAGGCTCGCCACCGCAGACCTGTCAACAGTTTGTTCAAACAATACAAGTGCGCTGACTTTTTCACCTTGCGTTTCCCTCACCTTCCTTCTCAACGTGGGAATTGAGTTCACTGAATACCAATGTCAGAGTGTGTTTCGCTCAGCCGTCCCACTCGGGTGCTGAGTGTGATCCCCGTCACTGGGGCGCTGAATTCATGCCGGAAATCGTGTAACTGAGCTTTTCCACCTTCACCGGAATTCACCACTGGCTCAACCTTAACTGAATTTACTGCCTCCACTGCCGCCGGGCCAAAAAACGGGATTTGACAAGCCGCCGGGCTTAAAAAACGGCATTCATCCCCCTTCAGGCAGGTCTCCCAACCCCCCCCCCACCGCGTTCTTATCCCGACCTAATTAGGGTAACACAGGGAAATGGTACTCGACATACTTGTGTGTAGGTGCCTTTCCCTTTGTTGTGCCTGTTCTAGTCTATCCTACCCGGTCTAAGACTAAAAGTCCCCCTCCCTAACTATTGCATTTAATTCATTTCTGCTAAGTAATCAGTAACTCTAGAGTGCTAGGTATTCAGACACACACATGTACACACACATGAACATACACCCCCTCCCTCCCCCCCGCTTTCCTTCTTGCGCTTTTCGTCGTTTGTTGGGCTTTCTCTCAGGCTTTTTAGGTTGCTCTTGAGGCTCGTTTCCCTACCCCAGTCAAGGGCTAAGTATTCACTTTTTCTACACCTACCTTTCCTTCTTGCCCTCTTAGCGCTGCTCTTTCTGTCTTTCTTTTCTTTTGTTTCTAAGGCTTTTTACGTAACTATTGAGGTGTTTCACACGAGCGCCGCGAAGCGGCACAGTGTCTGTGTCACCCCCTGTACCAAAGGGTTCAATGCCACTGTTTTCCATTACAACCACTCAACGAGGCAGGGGGCCACAGCTCCATTCATCAGTCTGTGGCCAACGAAGCTACTGATGTCTGGAGAGGATATGAACCTGGGACGCCAGGTACACGTACCTGCTTTCTCAACGGTTGACAAGCTGTCCAATCTTCTTCTTTTTTGTTTCCATGGTGGTTCATGATACCTTCCCCTAAACCTTTTGCCGCTCTCTCATGCAGCTGAATTGTGCAGAGGCTCGCCACCGCAGACCTGTCAACAGTTTGTTCAAACAATACAAGCGCGCTGACTTTTTCACCTTGCGTTTCCCTCACCTTCCTTCTCCACGTGGGAACTGAGTTCACTGAATACCAATGTCAGAGTGTGTTCCTGCAGACCATGACATACCATCACTATAAGAGTGCTCAGACGGTTCAAAGACCATAGCAGCAGTAAGCTTGGCAGACATGACTAGGTTGTTGACCATTGAAGGAACAAGTGCCCAGCTCATCCACTTCTCATAAGACCCATTATGTTGCAATATGGTGATGAGTTTTTAAATAGATTCTTATGATTCGCTGTCGAGCACATAGGTGTCAAGCAATCAAACTGTTTACTTGGAGTTGGGCAGCAAAAATGACCGTCGACTGGAATGAAGGTCGGTCGAGGACGATCTGAATGGCTGGTTTATCCCTCAAATGGCAATCCCAGTCAGTAAACTGGCTGCACTCTATGTACATGAAGCTCATGCATTGTTGCTAATTGTTCCAAAATTCACGTGCAAACCAAACAATGCCAGGAGCGTTGTACACACTTGTTCTGCTACTCCCTTTGAGGAAAGAATTCGCAGCACCTGGAAACCACGAACATCGCAAAGATGAATGGTTTTCCCTATCAGTTTGTGTTCTCTCACCTGGTCCAATTGCCGACAATGTCGCCCTGGCAAAGCATACCATCGCACAGGTCCTTGGCGAGGGCATGTGGCGCTGTCAGGAGGATCCACTCCTCTCGAGTGCAGCTGGGATGCACTTTCTTCTCCTCGTGGCATGGCCCACGCAAAAAGAATGCCATAGAATGCCGAAAGAAGTGCATCAACTACATCATCGCTTCTTACTTCTTACATTTTCTTACCACATCCTCAAGAAATGAGACATGCTTGGTAGGGCAAACTTTTTGGTTTCAGTTGAAGGAAGTCTTCCATTGCCCAACCAGCTGAGATGGTTTTAAACCTCACCCTTCTTCACTAATTGCAGTAGTCTCTTTGATGCTTCGAACTGTTTCAGCAAAAACTGAGCTCGCCATGCCTACCAACTCATGGCGTTTAGATGTGTCTCAGGCTGGCGGACCAAGCGAAGATCCGTGCTCCCATCGCGGATGCGCTGAAAGTCCGGCAGCCTCAGGCGATGTCGGTCCCCAAGGATATGGCGCAGCCTTGGCAGCAGTGAGAGTGCTTGGGGAGCTGTTTCTGACAGGTTTTCTTGGAACATGATGCGGCTGGGATCACCTGAAGCAGTGATGACACTCAGTGAATTCGGTGGGTTTGTATGAGTTTGTGTGCATGTTTACCTGTTCACACCTGTTTGTTTGATGCGGTGAGAAGTGAGAGAGAAACCAAATGGGTTACTTTGAGGTTAAATGTCCCTCAACTTGTGTTTCTTGTGTTTTATCAATACTGAATAATTGGTCACCTATGCCTAGGCCTCCTCCTCCCTGCCCACTGCGGGGCGGATGCCAAGCATTCCTTAGATGCTTCTACAGTACATATCTGGCCAGGGCAGAAGTTCAGCCACCATTGTACCTTCAACACCTTTTGGGGCTGCGCTCTTCATTTCTCAGAGGGTCCCTGTGGAAAGGCTGCGTATTAGCCAGACTCTATAGAGAGGCACGGAGTTCCTGATTCTGTGTTCCTGATTCATTTTGGTGAAGTCCAATGCGGCATCTGACCGCACCTGATGGTGTCAGACTGCGGCCCACTGCACCGGCCAAGCACGGACCGAGCGAGGCAATTCGATGACGCCGACATGGCCATTCTACACAACCTTGGCATCGAGACCGACGCTGTGATCCACAATGCACGCCCTGGGACCTTGTACGACGAGGCGCCAAAGGGCACATGCAGGAAAGGGGTTGAAGAAAAGGCGCACCTGAGCAAGAAATGTGTTTTTACTTTTTTGATGATTGTTAAAACATTTTATAATAGTGTTGAAGTGTTGACGGATTTTTGTGTGCTGCGTTGGACGCGTCTTGGAGAAAGGGAAGCCTGCACATCGACACATATTACAGCCCGGCCGAGCTGTGGCGTCGAGCGCAGTTTACGAGGTCATGGTGCATCGTATTTTTTCTCGGGTCTTTTTGCACTCCAAGACACTCGCCATTTTTCCAGGCACTTCGCTATGAGAAGGGCTCTGCCATCCTCTCAACAGGCGCATTGGCGGCCTACAGTGGGGCCAAGACAGGGCGTTCGCCCATGGACAAGCGAGTGGTGGAGGAGCCGGAGCATGGGTTGGGCAAAGATGAGCTCGAGTGGGAATTCACCAGCTTGAAGACTATATAGTAAAGATGAACTACTAGCATTAGGAAAGAAAACACACACAAAACAAAAAAACACATCGAACACATTCTCAAATTGGATTGAAGATGCGTATATTTCTAAGTAAGGCATGGTGCTTCAAGGCATGTTTACGGCTGCGTTTGGTTTACAGATGTTGAAAAGCAGGTAGCTGTCCCCTGTGTGCGTTATGTTCCTTTGATATACTGTATAGATGTTGTTTGTGGTTAATGAATCCATGCATCATTGGATAATTACATCTATATACTTTGGTAGCATTGCATCATTTCTTCCAGTTGTTGGATGCTATGGTCAGGCTTTCGGGAGGGATCACCCTGGGAGCCTGCCTGTGTACATGTAGCCATGTAGCATATAATCATCTCTCTCTCTCTCTCTTTCTCTTTCAATTCAGACAAGGCGCAAGGCGGCACTGCCCGACCACCTTGACAGGAAGATACAACGATCGATGACGTGTGGTGGGGCACGGTGAACATGGGACTCTCAGAGAAGAGCTTTAGTATCAACCGGGAGCGAGCCATCGACTACCTGAACACACGCCCCAGGCTGTAGCTTGAGCAGAGATGTTGGATGTCACAGCTCTTATGTAATTTTATGTGCTCAAGGATTCTGATCCAAGGATTCCCAAGGATCAAAGTGTGATTTGATCAGGCCACCTTTTATAAGTCTAACTTTGTTTGGATTTGTGAGTAGGATCAATGATGTCATGATCGATCTATTTGGTAATATTTGGGGCACTGCGGCGGATGAATGTGATTGACAAAGGGCACATTCACATTTCCGACTGCTCTTGACTCCTTGGCAGATAATGGACTGGCGTTTTGACACCGAAAACAATGCGAATCAGACGTATACTATATAGTACAATATTTATACAATCTAACGTACAGTATGTCCGGTACACGTTTGAGCAATGTTTAGTAGTACTGAGCACCAGGCTCAGTGTCAGCGTTCCAAAGCTGAGGTATGTGCTGGATGGTTTCGCTGGATGGGACCCTGAGTACCGCTACAAGATGCTTGGTGAAGCATGCATAGCCAGCAGAAGTTCCTGTCAGAAACGAAGAATAGAGAGAGAGAGAGAGAGCGCCGCTCACCACAAGTCACGTGCCCCAAGAGGCTTGTGAGAGAAACCAGTAAAATATTGATAAGTGTCTAAGTGTTGTTGATACTTGCTTCGCGCTTGCTCTACCAGATGAATCCACGCCTTGTGCGGAAGATTCAGGCTGAAGTTCAGCCCTCCATCGTCTCGCCGCTTAGCTGAGGATCCGGGTGATTACCAGCCGAGCCTACCACGCCCTCTTCATGCACAACATGTTGATCCGCCCGACCGAAGAGGAGCTCGCAAACTTCGGGGAGCCGGACTACACCATCTACAACGCAGGCGAGCCAGCTTGATTCATCATGGGATGTTTGATGTAAAAGACCTTTGATCACACGCAAGTATATAATCACAAGTGGGTAAACGTGTTCAAAAAGATGTTGATATGGTCAATTCTTCCTTGTCGCAGGGGCTATATACTTTGATACTTCGTCGCTCGCACGTCGGTCAACTGAGGGCGTGGTTGGGCCTGGTCTGTCAGGTGCCTTCCCGGCCAACCGGGCCACCGATGGCATGACAAGCGGCACATCGGTGTCTTTGAACTTCAAGGCGAAGGAGGTGTGCGGGCGGGCTGTGGGCCTCGGGCTCTTCTACCATGGGCTATTCTTCAGGTCGTAGTTACAGGTAGTTCCCAGAACCATCCTTTGGGTCTTTCTGGTGCGGATGACTTGCTTTGTATATATGCTAGACTCAGACGTATATTATACATTTCCCAGGCAAGCCATTGCCCCACCAACATCGGTGTTTCGGTGATGGCTCATGTCATCGACTGTTTGCCATCATTGGTAACATGCTCATACATGTTCATTGTTTCTTGGCTTGGGCTTGGCCTTCTCCGCAACGAACCCAACAACGAACCCGTCAATTACGCCCACATAGAATGGACGTTGCTGCGAATTGGTGCGATGTTGTGTAGGACATGTCTAAGTTGATCTAAATGTATCGTGGTTCAATGCTGTGAGCAACTGCAAGCTGGCTAGCTTCCAGGGTCCCAGGATACTTGGCAGTTAAAACCGATTTGACATGATTATGCCCAGATACCTGGCCTTGGGGTGGCAATAGAGATCCACCCTCGTCTCGCGACCCGCAAGGCAACCAAATCCCATGATGTTTCTTAGGCGACTTTGACCTCCTTCAATGCCTCACAGACAAAATTTTGACACCCCATGAATTGTGCAGGTGGTCATTCTGGGCTCGCAATATGCTGGCGAGATGAAGAAAGGTGCAAGAAGGGAGTCTCGATACTCTATACGCGGGCTTGATCAGAGTTTATGGATTCCACACATGTTACTTGATCAATGTTGAAGATCAGGGTGGCAGGCAGGGTAGAAGAATCCTATCGCGTGTGACTGGCGGGTGTTCGTTTTCTGTGAGGCGTTTTCACCATCATGAACTACCTCTTGCCGAAGCAGGGCATCCTCAGCATGCACGCCAGCGCCAACGAGGGCCAGGTCAGGATCATTAGATGGCTCCCCTTAGTAAGGTATTATTGTGTTTTTATAGTTATATATTTCTCAGGCCACGCGGAAGATATCGCCTGAATGCTTTCCTCAGCCTGTGAGTTTCGCCTGGTTTAGCTTGAAATCAAACCTGTCAGGATGGGGACGTCACGGTTTTCTTCGGACTCAGCGGCACGGGAAAGACCACGCGACTCGGCGAACGGGAGGGAGAAGATCTGTCCAGAATGGGCCAGACAGCCTCCAATACAGCCAAGACATACTACCATGAACCCTCAAAACCATGAAGAAGGAAGGTTTTGTTTTTTAGAAAACCATTGTTTTGCACCCGGGGTCCAGGGTGGTGCCCATGGTACAGTATGTTGATCTATGTTTGCCCGCCTGTGGTTGAAATCAAGACCAGGCACACTTCCGCCGGCACCCTGGTCCGCACGCTTCCAAGAGATGTCGACGGGCGGGGATTCCGGTTCGCCAAAGGCATCATAAGGCATCAACAATTGGGGGTGTCCTATTACCTGTAACAAGCCTGTACTAACCATCATCATCCACCGTTGCAGGGAATGGGATATACTGTATACTTGATATATATATATATTGGATGGACTGGAGGATTTGGCCAGGTTCAGGTGCCACCTTTGTTGTTTGAGGCTGTCAGCAGATGAGAATCGCAAGCTCATCGGCGATGATGAGCACGCCTGGACTGACAAGGTCCGAGGGCCATCGTTCCTGCAGGGAGCTTCAATGAGCTGAAACTGCTTGACGAAGCTACCTGGACCCTCCGACCCTCCAAGTACCCGTCACGCCCCATGTTCTACGATACTTTAGTGGGTGCGGATAGTCTTTTACAGTTGCAGACAGCATCAAGGAGAGCCCTTTTGCGGGCAGGGGAGCTTATCAGCGAGCACCAGTGCCAGCACCGGTACCAGGGTTTATGGGATTTGCTTGCGTTAAGATGCGTGAGATGTGTGTCTTTTCAGTTTCACATGGCTGCAACAAATTTGGATATATTTGGTATTAAAAGGCCAACCTGACGTCAGGTTAGTGAATTGATATCATCTCTCAATGAATGTGTGCCCATGTGGCTCGCGTGGCTGCTGCGAGGGCGTTTTCAACATCGAGGGCGGCTGCTACGCGCGGCTTGGCAGCCTAAGCCGGCCGGTCTGGTCCTCCAAGGGCGTCGCATCCGACCGGCCCAGGGGGTGAGGTTCCATCATCTCCACATTTGGCCTACCGGGCCACATAGACAAGGGTGACGGTTGGCTAAGATTTTGACAGATGTGATAGATAATGGTTGAAGTAAGGGTTGATACATGTTGATACATTATGTTTCAGGTGTAAGTGCAGATCGACTAGTGACTAGTGAAGATTGCAGGGTGCCCCTCCCCTACTACCTGATGCCACCATTTTTTCGGCATCGACCTTTCTCTGAGGAAAGCGATTGGCTTGACGCGGGAGAAGGAACCCGAGATTTGGGATGCCATCCGCTTCGGCGCACTTTTGGAGAATGTGGCTGGGCGAACTGAGCAGGTTTGGAACAAAGCTTATATGAGTTATAAGAGTACTCTGAAAATCATCCAATGTGGAATCCCATGGAATCGTCACAATGTCCCACAATTGGGTATTGTATGCTAGTGTGTCCAGCATGTGCTTCCGTAAACAGTGTTTTGGGCATCGTTTCCAGGGTCAAAGACCAGAAAAAGTTGTCGCCGAGCGAACGTGCTTGGCCTCCTTTTCTCGCCCCCCCAACCTATCAGGGACAATTTTTGATCTGAAGGTGATAGAGAGAGAAAGAGAGAGAAAAAAAAAACACAGTATTAGATAGTATTAGTAATTCTATATAATTATATAACTTTGCTTTTGGGTGGTCCCATTTTGGTCGAAGGTTTGCGACCGGCGGACCGAAATGTTGGACCTCAAAACGCCTCATCTACGTGGAATCCACTCTTTTGGGGACACTGGTCGTCCGCCTCCTCGGTGGCGGTGACACTTCATGTCGAACCGCATGGGTCACCAGGTGGTCTTCGACACACGCACTGGTGAAGTGGACTACGATGACAACAGCATCACCGAGAACACCCGGGTTTCGCAGCGCGTCTGCTGAAAGGCGGTGCCGAAGCCTATCTTGACCGTTGATGCATCAAACCTCCTTCCAGCATGGTTCAAACATCTCAATATCGCCGGTTTTATGAATCAAGATGAATCAAGAGTCCAACTACTATATCCTGGTCAATGGGAGACTTGCAGATCGAGATGGCTGGAATGGTTGTTTTGTTTTGCCCAAATGAGATGCATTTGAGCATTTGGATTGAATGTTGATCACCTTTCTGCAGAGTTGGTTCTTCACCTGTTAGCATCTGGAATTGAGAGGCTTTTCGGGGCATTTGATCATTTGTTGCAGAGTTGATTCACCTGTGATCACCTTCTTTGCAGGGGAGTCAACTGTCTTTTTGTTTTTCCCACTGGTTGTACACATCAATAATCCGTTCATAGACCCCTGCCTGTCCTTGCCACCGATGTCCACATGGATTGCCAACTTGGAGCCAGATGAGGAGCATTCTGTTTGATGCAATTGCAGTTGCATGCATGCCTGTAGACTCCATTCTCATTGTGCAGCGAAGTCGCTGTTCACATAATAGCATAAACACACGACAACACTACTGTTATCGTCCACTCTTCATGCATATACACACAAACATACATAAGCCTTCACCTGTTTGGGCTTGTGTGATTTTCCCCACTGTACTGTAGGAGGAGATGAACACCGAACAGCTTCCATGTGTTGTTTGCCTTTCGTTTATCACATCAAAATTCATAGAAAGAAAGGTCATCTCGCCTCTTCATCCGCTGCGCGCTGTGGACTCAGGTACCCTTTGGAGTACATCCCGAATGTGAAGATTCCTGCCGTAGGCGGACATCCGAAGAATATTATCATGTCACTTGGCCGACTGATGAGTGATGGTGTGTCCACTTCACTCCGTCTTCTCCTCCCCGTTCAGAAAAGAACATGGCCTTGGCACACAGACTCCCCGAACAACGTCTAAGCGGAACAGTCTGTGCCGCCTTGGAACAGTCTGGGAAATTCGGTGTTGAACTCGGAGGAAGATCAGGCGACACAGGTTGGAAAATGAACTTACGAAGAACACCAGGGTGACCATGTGCATGTCAGGCTCACCTGCGATGCCTTTGGTGTGCTTCCGCCCGTCTCCAAGCTCACACCTGCACAAGCCATGCAGCTTGGTGGGGACCACGGCTCCGCGCGGTTCGGTGTGCTGACGTCTCCAACCGCTCTTGAGCCTTTATAGGCTATCGGTTTCTGAATTTCTGATCCGGGCTAGAAAAAGGGAGCTGAACCAATGCAATTTGCCGCGAGTGCTCTTCAAACTTACCCATCAGGGTCTGCGAGGGAGGTGCCGGAAGTAGCCTGTGTCACGAAGCAGTCGGTGCCCAAGGGGCAAGTTGGGCAAGTTGAGGAAGCAGGAAGTCGGATTGCTTCAGTTTGATTAGCCCTTTGGACTTCATGGAAAGCGGTGCTTGAAGAGAGGCCAACCTGTGGCCAGCACCATCCTTTTGGACATTCTTTGTTATCTTCGTTCCATTGTGGGTGGCATGTTGGGTCCTGAAGCGGTGTGCAAATCTGAAGGTTTGTGGACGTTTGTGGGTTTTGACATGGTTTTTACTCAGCCAATCTGTTTTTTTGGTCCGAGGTATCACTTCATCTCAGGCTACACAGCCAAGGTGGCTGGAACTGAGGCCCCGCAAGCGGCGGAACCGATCGGCCGGCGCAGGAAGCAACTTGGAACCGCCAGGGTTTGGTATGATGCACTTGGAATCGGAGATTCAACACGATCACGCATAGCTTGGAGGTAGGTGAATATGATAGTTGGACCCCATAAGAAGTGAAAACTCTCGACGTAAGTAGTCAAGGGTACAAACCATCGTTGAATGCCAACAAAGCACATGTCCTGGCCAGATGGGCGTGAGTGAGCCGACCGCGACCTTCTCCGCCTGCTTTGGTGCTCCCTTCATGGTGTGGCACCCGGCCAAGTATGCTGAACTCCTGGCAGACAAGACTCTCGGTTGATGCAGTCACCTTGAGGACACTTCTATTTACTATTTACATCTATTTACTGTCCTCGCAGAAGTCTGTTCCTTTTTCACGTGATTCCTTCGAAGCCTGGTGGCTCACTGTATGAGTTGCCAGGAGAAGGTTTGCTTGATGCTGACAGAAATGCATCCGTTCAATTCATTACCATGCCTTTGTTTCCAACTTCCATTGATTGGGGGGCCATCCCATTCCAACTCACCGTGGTGGTCACCATCAACAGAAGAAATCTCAACGCCATCCGCACGCCTCCGTTGATCTGCAAACTGAGAGCGGACAGGATCGATGCTTTTCATTTCGCAGCCAGGATGGCCAAGCACAACGTGAATGCCTGGCTGATCAACACCGGCTGGACTGGGGGTGCCTTCGGTGCAGGCCACCGCATGAGCCTCAAGGACTGGGACCGCATCAGCACCAAATCCGCATGGATGTTGAAGTCTTGGAGTTGGGTCCCTTAAAGGACACGCATTTACTAATGTAAATATGCACACTCACAGTTAGTAGCGGTATGACGGTATGTGTATATATATATATATATGTGTGTGTGTGTAATATATATATATATATGTGTGTGTGTGTTTAGATGTATGTAGCCTTCATGTAGCCGTGATCATTAACAATTAAAATACAATAAATATAGACAGATAGATAGATAGACTCAGTGCATCCACAAGAGCGCCAGTTGTAGCGATCCTCCAGGACACGCGCGCCATCATCGATGCCATCCACTCCGGCGACTTGGCCAAGGCGGAGTATGAGAACTTCCCCAGGCAGCGATGGGTTGGCGCGAAGGGGTCGTGATTTCGCCAAACGATGGGCTCATGGCGTTCTGCCCTAAACCGAAGACGGAGGTCGATTTTTCTCAAGAGAGGGTCGTGGTTTAGGGCTTGTACGGTCGTCGCATGTGTGGAAAGATGAGAGCGAGTGACCCTAAAGCCCTTTGGTTTTCTTCTCGAACTGTTAGGAGCAGATTGAGAAGGGGTAGGCATGTGTACAGGCATATAGTCCATAATTACATGGATGGTTCGGGTATAGCCAGCCTTGTCACTCCGTGACAGGTTCAATCTGAAAGTGCCCAAGAGCTGCCCCAATGTGGATTCCCAGATCTTGCACCTTGGCCTTGGCCCTCGTCAGTCGCCGCAATGGCTTTACGTGATTGATGGTGAACAGTTGGGGGCAGGGAGCTTGGCGTTTTTTTTTACAGTAATATGCACATTTGTTGGGTTCCTAGATAACAAACTGGTCTAGGACCGGGGCGTTGAGTTGCGAAGCATGCTTTGAATGTGCTTGCCGGCCTGTACTACGACCCAGCGTCCATAGCAAGATCATGCAACATCAAATAATCGCAGACTCAAGTCCATTTGAAGATTGGCCAGAGCCAGAGATGTTGTCCATCACCCGTTACTACTAATTTGTAGATTGAAGTCGGTTCAGCCATCGTCGCAGCTGTTTGGGGCTGTCAGAGTGTACACTATTGTGCGTTTTGAAGGCGGTCGAGGGGGGAGAGGGAGAGTGTTCAACGAGTTTTCACCTTTGCCCTTTTGGTCATTGACATGTGCGTACGTGGGAGTGGCTTCCTAGTCTCGCCTAGTCTTTTTGTTTTTGCATGCGAGCACTTTTCAGTTGTCAATGACCAGTCGTGTATGAGTTGGTGTCGTGAACCCCACGGGAGCCTTTCAGGTTGCAAAGCAACACCCCTTGTCCTAGAAGGTCCAGCCCAATGTGTGCAGCTTTTTCACCCCCCCAAAGCTTTGCCTTTCCAGCTTTGTCTTCCAAGCTTCGCCCAGCCTGTCCCAGGATGCCCAATAAGACATGGACCGACCAGACGGAATTCGAGCGAATGTCCACCAAGCTCTCCGCACTCTTCAAGGCCGTCATTACCGGGTCACCGTGCCAGACAGGTTGGTGCAGTTGAAGAGGGTTGGGCGGAGACAAGGTATTTGAATAGATTTATATATCATTGTATTGGCCTTCTTCAAGAACTAAGTAGGATTCTAAAGGGCGGGTTTCTTGTCTTTGCTTCAGTCATCTCCCTACGCTTGCGTTACGACGAAATGCATTCCTGAATTCAGTATAGTGGTGTATGATATTGATTATAGAATGGGGAGACCTCCCAAAGACCCCCTGGAAGAGAAGTGGACCAAAGCCCATTGGTTGGGGTCCCCCTTTTAGAATGCACACCCATGTACATACACATATATATATATATATGATCATTGAGTCTCATATGTATATATATATATATTGTATAGGCACCATGATCACCCGACCTTTGGGCGGGCCGCAACGTGTGACTGGGCGACTCCACAGCTTTATCTATAGCTATGTAAATGGGACCAAAATTGCACGAGTACCATAATGCCTACTACATATTATGGTACTCGTGCATTTTCGGTCCAAGTACAAACAATGACAAACATGTCAGTGCGTTTCTTTGCTTCAACCAAACGTGCCAGCTGGTGTCCAGAATTCCCTATAGATGATTTTTTCTAGTGGTCATGTACCTTGTCTTGCTTCTCGAGAGCCACCCCCGTTCGATTCTAGACGGCACAGGACAACTTCGAGAAGTTCAAGGACGGCTGCTCCGAGGACATCAAAGCAGCCGCTCCGGAGTAGACGGTTGCACAAAGCCTCCATGAGGTAGCCATGATTTAAGATATAAACTTGCAGCCCTCTGAAAGTCCACACCCCGTTTGATTCAAACAGACCGGTATTTGGGCCGAAGACCTTGAGCCAGGATTTTCAGAGTCAATCTTTTGCATGCCATTTTGGATCAGCGGACCTTGGGAACTACAGCAGTCCCATGCGTGCTGACCAGAACGCGCAGATCAGCACGCGCTGTCGCACAAGCCGATTTTAGAAGTCAGACCACTGCACTTGGCAGTTGACGGAAGTGCCAGGAAAGTGGGTACGGGTTGGCAAATGGGCCCCCGAAACCTTCCTGGAGGTGCGTTTGGAAGCATTTTTGTATTCAACAAATCTTAGTGAGATCTCACGCATGTGTATTTTAGTTAAGGCAGATCATCCCTTGCATCCAAATGCCAATCTTCCTCGGCTTGACGGACTGTGTGTTTTTTTTGGCCCGAAGTGACCTTCTTAATCGGCAGACTTCGAAGATTGGCGCATTTCAATAGCCAGACTTGCAACCGTGAGCAGCCCGTATAAGACAAAATCTGGAGCACGCAGAGCAATCGGGATGACATTTTAAGAGGCATAAATCAAGGCTTTGCACGCCCTCACCCCCACTGCAGAAGAGAAGCCAGGTGTTTCCTGTGCTTCACCGAATGTTATGGATCCAAATGGCAATTGCTCCTCAAAGTCATAGAAGTAGACCTAAGTTTGGATCGTTTGCATGACCCTCCAAGCACCCGGAAGCCTGCCACCGTCGCGCCGAAAAGCAGTGTCAGGTTCCTGGGCTCATAAGAGCTTGACCAGAAGAACTTCAGGATTTGATGTCAGTGTAGTGATAGGATGTGATAGTTTTTCCCGAATCTTCACATACCGACGCGTTTGGGCTCTTAAAGAAAGGAAAGGTGTTCGGAGTTGGTCGGCAAGTTTAGCTGTTGACGTTTTAGCTGATGGCGAAACTCTTATTGCCCTCAGCAGCCCCTCACTCAGTTTGAAACCTGCAACTCTCCGATGGATATTTTGACAGTTGATAGGGCCCGAGTGTCAACATGTTCAACTACAAGACGAACCTGATTGCAACTGCCCAATCTTTTTACCTTTCAACTCCATTGGCGGTCTTTCATTTGTCATCGACGCCTGTTGAGGGTTGGTCGGGATGGGCTTTTCAACAACGCCCTCAGGCCTTGGAAAGGCGTCCGGGCGTGGTCGCCTTAGCACAGCGTTCAAACGCACACCCGATGGACGGTCCAAACGCACACGGCGCCCACGGCGGCAGGTCCAAACACCTTGCGAAGAGGAAGACAGCGAGGCATGGCGCAGTGGGCGGTGGGCACCAAGGGAGAAGACGAAGTGAGAGAAGAAAGAAAACATCGTTCAGTGAAGTCAGGCAGATGATGATGCCTTCAGTTGCAAGAGCTGGGACAGAACGAGGAGCTGCCGTCCAGGGACCTCTTTCCGACGATTCGACGGTGTTGGTTGTTGCAAGGACCCCTGATGCCTCGACGGAAGTGATAGGAGGACAATTTGAGCCCATGGGCAGCATTATGAGAGACAGCAACCACAAGTATTGTTCATTTGTATAAGTGTACAGCAGTCAGTTTTGCGGAGATATTCTTTGGTTCTAAGTTGAGGAGGTTTGGTTTGAGAAAGACGTTTTACAAATTCAAATGCTCCTGCAATGCATGTCCTTGACAGAAAGACCGCCGAATCCAATCCAAACAGATGCATGCGGTCTTTTTCACAACACTTCATGGTATGGAAACATGCACCACGGAAGGTCAACAACATGTAGCGCAAGTCCGGTGGACTTCTCAACACACCCCTCTTGCCGGCAAAACATACATTCACTCATTCCATTGCTGGCCCCCGTCAACTTCTCCCATCCTGTGTGGTGTCAGCTCGCGAAAGAAGGCTTGTCAGCGGTGCTTTTTCTGTTTGTTCTCCACTTTTTTTTGCGCTTAGTGATGCAGGAACACCGCGTGCTTCACGAGTTCCTTTCGCACCGGTCCTTCCCTTCAGAACGTTCATCGCTTGGTCTCACCTCGTTCTCTGGTTGAACACCTCAAAGGAGGCCTGATGGCCTTTGCTTCACCTCCTTTTCGTTCGTTCCACCGGGCGGAGCGATTAGCTTCGGATATCAAAGCGGTTAAAACACCGCGAATGGCTCACGTTTGGCACTTAAATTATCTTAAATTGTTTTGTTTGACTGGAGAAGCATGGTCAATGCAGTAGGTCAATGGGTCATGTTTACTCAAAAGTAAGGTTTCACGGCTTGATGTTGCCTTGATGTTCGTGGGGTGAAAATGCCAGGCTGGTGCAAAGAATAGGCACGTCGTCAAGCGAGCATGCCAAAGCATTAATCCTTAAAACAAAATACAACCTTGTGGGGAAGCGAGTGCACAATTTCTGACCTTGGTCAGGCCGTGGTGGTGTGGCCAGCATGCACCAAGGCAAGTGTCTGAGGCCGCAGCACGGAGTTGCCTGAAACTTCCTCAGCTGGTTATTTTGCTATACAACTTCTTGGGTTTTGCTGGAACCTTGTTGTTCTGATTTGTTGTGTCAACTGAGATTTGTCACATTTGTCATGACGAAATGGAGGACTGGCCGGCTAGTGGCCATCAAGACCATTTTCAAGGACTGCTTCAGTGTTTCACCACACTTGGTCTTGGATTCGAACGGCTGCCTTTTGTCGCCAGGAAAGCACGGTCGATCGAAAAGCTGCTTTGAGTGAGGCGGCTGTCTTGCGTGCCTTAGATCACTCGCAAATCAACAGATCCTTGATTCAAAATCGGATGGCTGGGGTGACCAAAGCCCATCACACGATCCAAACAGCCAAGTCAGGCGACTACCCAGCGATTCTCATAAGGACTCGTTACAGTGGTCGAGGATGAGTTCAACATATATCTTGTTCTCGAATACTCTCCAGGCGGGCTGGTCACGTGCCAGTCTATGAGGAGCACTGATTGCATGTTGTGTTATAACTGAGCCACTAGTTTCGTCCACGGATCTCTATGTCATGACATTCCAGCTCATGTCGTCGGTGCGCAGAGCAGTGCCGGCAGGCATGGATTTGATGGAGATGCTTCTTCAATCTGGCCCGATGGAGGAAGAGTCTGCGGCAAATATTATACAACAGATGGTGGAAGTCTTGGCATATTGTCATTCGCATGGCATTGTGCACAGAGATTCCAAGCTGCAGATGTTCAACATCTCAACCCGGTAAGTCCTGTTGAGTTGTTATTCTTTCTTCTGGACAAACGAGCACTTAACATCACTTAACTGCGAGTGAGTGGAGGAATGTGCTTGAAGCAATCACAGTCAATCAACACACACACACGCATATATGTATGTGTGCAATATATATATATATGTATGATTATATATACATATGTTCTGTTATATTGTATATTTTGTTTGTTTGTTTGTTTGTTGTTTTGGTGTATGTTTGTGAATTATACTAACTCTTTACTTTGGGTCTTGAAGGGGTTCTCACTCCGAGGGGTTTCATACATGTTCCATGGCTCCATCTAGAGCCAGCGCCTGGGCTCCGTTCGCCAAGCCGGACTATGGTCCTAGGAGTGCGTTCACTTGAAAGAGCTGACTGAAGTGAGCATGCACATTTTTCTGTATGGCTCCTTGAACCTTCACACCATTTGGCAGTAGCTGGTACTGACGGGTTCCCTGGCCCCAGCATCCACCTTTTCTGGCCCTTAGGATGTGAAGCCTGAGAATATTATGCTTTGCGGGGATGAGATCATGCTGGTGGATTTTGGTCTGGCAGCAGAGGTTGGCAAAGTGCTTGAAGAAGGCGAGGAGCCAAGTTGGCGGCAGAACCATGTGGAGCCAAAGACGTTTGAGCCATGTGTGAAAGCAGTGGTGCCTGCTGGCAGTCGGAAATGCAATCATGGTAAGCTTGAGCCCTCAAAGTACGTCAATGAAAACAAGTGCGACGAACTGTTTTGGGAAGTCATGTCCACTTTCTAGGTCTGTCTTGGAGGCGGACAAGTGCTTTTGGAACAGTTGTGACTGGCAAACGGGTCTTTGCATTTGCTTGCCATGCCTCTAGTACTAAGGAGAAGATGAAGGTACTCCCATTTATCTTGCTCCTGAAGCCCGTACCGAAGTTGCAGATAGAACCAACCCTTAAGACATCGGTGTCGACTGCGTGGGATGTCCCGGAACGTCCAGTCCAGTCGATGATCGAAACTCGACGATGTCATGACGTCTGAGGCTGTGGGCCAGTGAGTTGCGACGGCTCTTTGGATATGTTTAGCCTCGGGGTGGCCTTATTCGCGATGCTGTCTGGTGCTGCTCTTAGTTTGCGATGTTTGCTAGGACATCCAAGCGATGTCCAAACGCTGGGCTGTGGTCAGAACTCCGGGACAGCGGTTGAAGCCAATATTAGGCCGGTATACCGGTGAACAGAAAGACAACAGGACGACGGCTGTCAACCTGGCGTGATTTCTTTGACCCGCACCACACCCGCCAGACCCACCAAGGTCGACTTCCCACACATCGAGCTAGCCCTGCTTTATCCAGCGAGTCACTTCTACCAGACGTTTCGCCAGGACCCCTTGGGGTGCAGCTTTGGCTTCGGCTTCGCTTTCTCAGTCTGATTGCCAGGGCTCCAGGAGAACAGAAACTTTGATCGCTTGGTCAGGAGCCAGAGATTTCCTCGCGCAACTTCTGGCAGAGCCAGCGCAACGATTGTCAGCTTCGCAGGCGCGCGAACATCCGTGGCTTGCAGCTTGGCAAACGACTTCTTGATAGGCTTCTTAGAACAGCTTTACAGTGAACATTAATATATAAATATATTTCAACCGGTTATAACCGTTGTACATATATAGTTTTACAGTTTTTGTTTGTGTGTAGTGTGCACCTAACTGCTCCACACTTTGACTCCACATGTGTATGCTTACCAGTGCTCAGGTCAGTTGTGGCTGTCGCATATGAAGTTCTGACGCTGCCACAATTGAATTGGTTTCTTAAAGCCGTGATGCCGCGATGCTGCAAACGGCGGTGCTGCAACCGATGCGCCACGCGCGTGTGGAACACGCGCGTGCGTCGTGCGGCAGTGGCAGCGCATCATTCTTCTCCAGGTGAGTGGCCAACCGGAATCCAACCGGATCGACCGGTGGGACATGGGGTGATGTGGTGTTTTTCACATTTGACGCCGCACTCACAGACGTTTCAAGAATGACGATTTATGCATGTAGTGAGGGCATGTGAGGGCCCTGCGGATTGTTTTTTCAGGAATAATCATGTATCCATTTGGGTTTCAGTGAAGGGGGATCCTGGCGAAAACCGGATATGAAGGAAGGAGAGTTCCGAATGAAACTTAGAAACTTTACAGTTGGGAAGTCAAGCTGCATCTGAACAGTTCCATAAAGAGCAGGGCCCTCAGGCTTTGTTTGAAACGCAAGACGCTGCAGCTACTCAGCGCATCCGGGGTACGGCACTGTGGTCTTCAATTTGTTGAAGCTGCACACTTGTGCATTGTATAGAGAGTGGCTAAGGTGACGCTTGCACAAAGAGATAAATGTGCCAATTCTGTGGAAACCCGCCAGAGAAAGGTGGTTGGATGTTGAATGGGTTCATATTCTAAGCACAATAAGCAGCCATTAAAGGCTTTACAACACTTCAAGTCAGGTGTATTTTTCAGAATTGAAGGTCTTTCGGGAAGCAACAAGAAGCTCGTCACGGGCGACTGGCCTCCAAAACGTTCCTGGGGTAGCTTTTGGAAGCAGGAAACTGGATACTTCCAAATGCTGGCCCGCCCCAGTTTGAAGGTCTTTGTCTTTGGCCCAGAGTGACCTGCCGATCAGCGGGCTTGGAGAATTGGCTGGTTTAATTTAAAGTAGGGTGCCCTGAACTAAGCCAGCACAAGGCCATACGTGTGTGGATCATCTCCAATCTTGATCTCGAGCTGTTGAAATCCTCCTGTGGTTGGATCTTCGGGGCCACCCTGGCGTCCATTCAAGCATTTCAAACGGCAACAACCGCAGCCAGTACAGTGGGCCAAAAGTCGCGTTCGCTGAGCCCAGTGAGCCCTAAGCGCCAGAATCAGCGAAGGGAAGGCACCCTTGGTCGTGACGTGGGGAGTTTCTTGGCTGGGCAACCGCATAGTGACACTGATCTCGCTGCACTGAGCGAAGTAAGGAGCTTATGGACCTTGCAGTCTGTACACTTGTCAATCCACCTGGCAGTGCCCCATGGCAACACGCCTGATGCATCTTGTATATATAATTATATATACTCATGATGTACCATTGACTACCCAGCTTCACTCAGACCAAACAAATTTGACAAAAACCCGTCTGAATACATGGCAGGTGCATGAAACAGGAGTCACCATGGCTGCGGCATGGGAGGTGATTGTCAATATGTGGTGGGACAAATGACAATTTTCTTCGCGTATTGTGCAATGAATTAATGTGACATGTGTGTTTTTGCATGTTTTACTGTAATGTGTTTTTGTTCATTTTGGATGCAAGGTGCTCTCCTGCCTTGGTGCTCCTTGCGAATTCTGCTCTGAGCACGCACCCGAAAGAGTCCTTCCTCCATTCTCCTTTTGTTTTGATCAGATGTCCCAGGCACTGCTAGCCTTTCCGTACATTTGGATGATTTTGGAATGTGCAAAGGCTTCACCATTCCCCTCATTCCATGCAGCACAATTCACCACCAACAGAGTGAGGAAATCCGTAACCGCGAAATAGGCTAGGCTCAGCTACCAACAAAATTGGGCGGCAACTCTTGGGGGAGCATTGCAGCGTAGGCTGACTTGGTTCACAACCGTTCATGATGCTTATACAGGTCATTCACTGGTCCACATCATTCAACGCCGGTTGAGCAAGTTGTGGTCTTCAAGTTCGGTCCGCACCACTCTTGATCCTTGAGCTTGTTGAATGCTTTCTTTGGGCTCAGGGATAGAAGTTCCCCAGGGTGCAGCTTCGTCACATTGAACTGCCTGATGGCAAAACTTCTATTGCCACCAGCTGCTGGTCACTGAGTTGTGCAGACCTGCCGTTTGGCCGAACCTTCTTTGCAGACCTGCCGAGGCCTACCGACATCCGAAGTCCTGCTGTCGGCCACTTTGCCTAACCAAGCCACTGGCAGTCGGCTGAGCCACGAAGGGTGGACGAGCAGGCCAAAACACCTCCTGGCTTTGACGTTGAAGCCTCCGTGTGCAAGACAATGACCACCCACCGGAACCTCATGGGACCATTGGGTGGTTGGACCACCCACAGGGCCATCGACTCCCACCCACCGCGCCTAGGCAGATGACACTGACCGGAGCCTGAAGAGCTTGGACACCAGGAGCTAAAGGGCTTGGATTGAGCTGAAGAGCTTCGACACCCACCGGTTTGGGCACCGAACTTGCGCCCCGGAAGTCAGCACAGGACACCGCAGGATTTGCCGGAAGTCATTGGAGGGCAATTTGAGCCGAGCGGCAGCAGTTGTGAGATGTGTGAACTCCATGAGCATGTTTTCCATTACTTCGAGAAAACTTGGAATCCCTGCAAGTTAGAAATGATAAGAAATAGTATAGTAAGTATAGTTATTGCATCAGGATGCCAATCGCCTTGCTGACATGCCTTTTCTGAAATGGTGTTCAGCCCCTCGTTACCACAGACACTTCAACAATTCCTCAATGGACAATCGTTAATATACCACTGCATGGTGTGGTGTGAACACAGCGTTATGTTTGAATGTTCTACTGAAGATCTGTGGCCTGCACTCCACTCCTTAGGCTTTTGCGAAGACTAGGCGCCAAGAAATGAGCCGATGTGAGCACATCCGTTGTGAGGGCAAAGCAAGAAATAGAGAAACAGCTGCATAATGGATATCATGCCCATGGGGATAGCTACTTCTGCCCCGAGCATAGTTTAATGTTTATGTCACGTGTGTCCAATTTGTTTTTTTCGGTGTGCGCATTGGTCAAAGACCACTGGACGGCGGTCAGGTCGTGGTGGTTTGGGCATGCACCAGGGCCAGTGTTTGAGGACTCGGATTTTGCTACGTGATGAAACTTCAGCATTAAATCCACCTGGGTAGTAGTTCCCGAAACCACTCTACTCTTAAAAACATTTGAGCTCCAGCCAACTTTGGAACTTTGGATACCTGGAATGTGTGTTCAAATCATCATCTCAACTGTTCCTAATCGTTCAACATTACATGTTGAGGACTGGCACTCTAGTGGCAATCAAAACGATCTTCAAGGACTGCTTCAATGGATCGCGGGGCAGTGCCGATTTGTGCCTTGCGCTTGTGCCAGGAAAACCCGGTTGATCGAAAAGCTGCTTTGAGTGAGGCAAGTGTTTTGCATGCACTGGACCATTCGCACGTCAACAGAGACTTGGCAAGCGAAACGTTGGCGACTTCGTCGGTGGTTCATTGGGACTTCGTAAGTGTTTTTCGCTGTGTCACACCCGCCGCAGAAGGCGCGGCCCTCTATTTTAATGCCCTTCTAAATCTTCTGAATTTGCCATCTCGCATGTTCAAGTTTGTCAATCTTCAATGCTGCAATGTCTCCCTTCTTGTAATTAAGGACTTCTTGCAGTTGTTGAGGATGAGTTCAATACAAATCTCATTCTCGAATACATTCCAGGCTCGGCAGTGGTGTTGAACCTCCATGCTGTAGCTTTCTCACGAACAATCCTCCAGTCTCCGAACGTCAGGTTGACTAAGTGATTCTTGCCGCTTTCATTTCCCAAACACTCCATGTATGGCATATTTACATACATTGGGGTGGTTTCAAGGGTCAATGTAGGCATTAATATATACCATACGTGGAGTTTCTTGGGTTTGGGAGGCATGGATTTGATGGAGACACTTCTTCAAACTGGCCCAATGGAAGAAGAACCTGCAGCAAACATTCTCTGGCCTATTGCCATTCGCAGGGCGTTGTGCACAGAGATTCCCGGCCGCAAATGCAGTAACGAGCAGTGACTACTTTAGTTCACGTTGGAAAGTGCACTGGGGGTCTATATAGTAGTCTATATAGTATATTGTTTGTTTTGGAGTGCTGTTCGCTTCCCGGCATGGCATGTTCACTTTCTGGCAGACTTTGCAAGAAAGAGGGGTTGTCATGGGCGTGCATGGTATGAGGAATTAGCCAGGACCGAACATAGACACACATACGCACACAAGTTTTCCCCACAATGCTGTTGAAGAACCTCTAGTTTTTCCACCACACACTCAGGCTAAAGCCAAGGTCAACACAAGGCATGTTTTTCTCCAAAGGATGGCAAAGGAACTTGTTGCGGGGATCCGTGTCCTCGCCAAATGATCCCCCCTTGAAGTCGCTGGCGGCATGTTTGGAATATTTATATATATATATATAAATGATGTAAGATTAGATGAGCCATTGAATGAGAGCGCAGCCCAGCAAGGGCCCCTATGAATCCAATAAATGGACGCTGTCCCCTAGCTCCAGGCCTATTTTTTGATGTTGAAATCCAATGAGAGAGGGGGAGAGAGAGATAGACGAATTAGGTAGTCCAGTTGCCTAGTCGGTAAGGCGTATGTTCGCTCCGTAAACAAGGGTTAATCCTACACTTCTGGCACCTGCTAGTGTAAGTTAGCTGTTTTTTTTGTGGTGCAGATTTGGGCGTTTGGTCCGATGACATCCAATGACTGTAGCCAGCTGATAGGCAAAACGTTCTTCAACGCTTGAGGATGTGAAACCTGAGAACATCATGCTCAGTGGGAACAAGGATGTCACCCTGGTGGATTTTGGCCTAGCAGCACAGGCTGGCGAAGAGCTTGAAGGCTCGCGCAAGATGCCCCTAGCTCTCGGATTTTTGTGCAGAACTTGCAAAGCCGGATGCGGCAGGAGATCATGAAGGTAGTCCCGTATATCTTCCTCCAGAAGTATTTATCCTGTCTCAAGTGCTTGCACCTCGCTTTTTTGAGGGTCGGACACGAGCATGCACGAATCACGGTCAGTTGACTGATGTTTTTTTCACTCAACAGGTTTGATCCAGAGAGTAGAATCGCTCCCAAGCAGACAGAACTTTCAAGCTCCTGGACGAATGTCTTATTTGGTCAATGTGGCAATCTCACAATTTCATAAGTTGATTTTGTTTTATGCATAAAGTGTTACAATATGTCAAGCTAGTGCAATATTGAAAAGAACACAAATTATGGGGCATTGTGGTTCAATTTCTGCCTGTGGTGTTGCCGTGGTCAAATTTATTTGTGGTGTTATAGTAAGCCAGCTATTTGTCGTGTCATGTTTTTCACACAATAAGGGAGATGTGTATTGCAGTCACACAAGAGACTATTTTGAAGCTATCCGAGGCCGTCCAATGGCGTGCGACGGTTCTTTGGACATGTTCAGCCTGGGCGTCGTGTTATTTGCCATGCTTTCAGGAACCTTGCTCAGTTTCTATTGCACCTGTAAGCATGCACCTGTCAGCTGCCAAGAGTTGGCTTTTCAGACTCTTATATAGACAAATCACCCGGAGAAATCAAATGCTCCTTGGAACCCCTACTATCAGTCCTTAGTGCATAATCCTCAGTGGCTGATGTGACAAGTGACAAGGCCGACTTCCAGCTCATCAAGCTAGCCCTGCCTTGGTGAAGCTTTTGCCAGACATTTCACCAGGATATTTGGAGTTGCTGCCTTCCAGCATGCTCAAGTTCCCACTCTCCCACTTTGTCCGGAAGCGGATGGACCAATGGAAGACTCATGTTTTCTATGATGTGATTTGTTTGACTTCTGTCAGGAAGCAGGTCGTTTCAGCATTTTTTCGGCTCGGACATGTCAGACATGTAATGTGTGTTCTTCAAAAAACATGATCAGTTTTTTCTTGATTAAAGGTTGTTTATCCACATGCAGAAGCAACAGCATGTGTACCTATGGAGCACTTGAAAGAGCGACGGCGTTTATGACAATCAGATTGGTTTGCATCCAGGAGCACAAGATTTCCTTGCACAACTGCTGGCAGAGCCAGAACCAGCTTTACAAGCGCTTCAGCATCCCTGGCTTGCCGCTTGGGCCGAATCATGTTGAATGCATTGTTCACTTCTTGAGTTTTATTCATTGGCTCAGGTCGGCCATGGCCATTTATGTTGATTAAGTTAGCAGCTCGGGCAAACTTCCTTCACAGCTGCAGAATATCCAAGCATTTTGCAGTTAAGGGCAAGTGGCCCACTGCGCTCTTTTTGTACAAATATAATTAACTGGCTGGTGGTTTCAAGAATATATATTACAGTTTATGAGAGAGAGAGAGAGGTAGATAGTTCTGTAAAAATATACATATTCAACTATTTGAGCCTTGTTCCTAGGATGAGCAATATGAAACATTGTTCAGGTCCATTGAAGCCAGCAGTGCACACGTTGGCTTTGAATGCCATGCCACGACACCGTATGTCTTGTCAAGTGTTTATTCAGGCAGGGCAGGTATCTTCCGCCGAGCCTGTTCAGTGTCTTTAGGGCACTGCGCCAAGGGCCAAAGGACAGATGTTTCTTGCAGCAGCAAGTAGCGTGCGCCATCCATCTTTGACACATGTTTTTTTCATGCATGAGTTTATGACCGTGAAATGGTTGGTTGACTTCCTCTCAGCTGTTTATGCTATCTTGAGCTGCTCAGCTACTGTGCTGCTGCCCCAAGCTGTTCACACCTGCAGCCAGGCCGCATGCACTAGTTCAAGCTGAGGCGGTTCCGTTGCCCCATGGCTTTCTGGCAGTTCTTCCGACGAATCCATAGCTGGCCAGTCAAGAATGGAAGCCGGGTGATCCGAGTCTAGTCCAAAAACCATTATCATAGGGACAACCTGAACAGCTCATGGACCTGCTAAGCCTGCCAAGCGGGCAGCAGCTCAGTTGAGTGGCCAGAAAGCCCTGAGCACATTGAGCCTCAGATGTTCAGAGTGCAAACCCTTTAAGAGACAAGAAAGTCGTGTCTTGTGGTCAGACTGAGTACCAGAGTTGCTGCCCGTCTCTCGCTTAAGTTTTAGGAGTCTACCTAGAGATGGGTGAGGTGAGTTAGGTGGGAATCAAGTACTGAAGATTCGCCAGCCGGAGCTTCTGGGAACATTTCTGATATTTCGCGAATCCAAGTCAGTCAGACTCAGTCATTCTCCTTTCCGACCACCGCTAGCCATTTGAGCATTTTGTTGCCTCCTGACATCTCCCCAAAGCCGCCAAAGCCGAAGCGTTTGTGGACACCAATGGCCACCCGAACGAGGGCATTAAGGCCTAGTCGCTCCGGAGATCCCCGTGGGCGGCTCCATGTGGCTCCGGTCCCACACCATTGGTCATTGGTCCGTGCGCAACGGGCCAATGGTGGGGCCCAACCTGGAGTCACTCAAGAGACGACAGTGGGCGAGAAAAGTCAGCCCTTCCAAAACTTCGGGAACTGTCCTATTTGGACATATTTTGGGTGATCACTAAATAGACTGAACCAGAGTATTTGAGGTCTCGTATTTCCGCCATCCTCCAGGTCTTTGGCACGGGCCAGCGGCGCCAGCGGCCTCCTCCGAAGGATCCATTCCGGCCGAGTGCTGCTGGGCGCCGGTCGAGCTCGACCTGCCAACTGAAGGGTCAAGGGGTTTCTGGGTAGAGTAGATCGATCCACCTGTTTCTTATGGGGTCATGTCCCATTTTTGATTGTACTTTGTACTTGAAAAGGAGGCCGATGAAACTTTGGGAAGCTCTTGGGCTTGCGGATCCCAACGATGTCCGGACAAACAGAGCGTTGAGATCTTTCAATCATTATCAGACAGTGTCATTTGCTCAGACCGATCCTCGATTTTATGATAATATGTTATCTAACCAAGGACCGAAAAGGCGCCAGTAGGCATCTAACGATGATGGTATACCGCTGCGTACATATATATATATATATATTGATTTACTGCACGGAGCACACTTCATCATATGCCATCAAACCAATTGCCCAACGTCCACGTCTCCACCGCGTCCCGGAGGCGCTCGCTCCGCTCTGAGGCCCCGGCTGGCGGACCAGACGACGATCCGCGCGCCCGTGGCCGAAGCGCTGAAGGTGGCGAGGCACGATGAGGCGATGATGGTGCCAAAGGACTGGGCGTAGCTTGAAGTGAGAGCACGGGCTGGGCTGGGGGTAGTACAATGTTATGGAGGTGAGGGGTGTTTACAGTAGTTATTATGTTTGTTGGTCGGGGGTCGGGGGCATGAGGGAAAGGATGAGAAGATAGGGGCATGGGAGGATCTTGGAGGGATCGTTGCTTGATCCGGCTTGTGGAGCCACATCCAGCCGTGGTGTGCAGAGCCGCGGGTGAGAGACTCAAGTTACGTGTGAGTTGTGAAAATCAAGATCTTGAGGCGGGAACTCGTGCCAAGTTCCTGAGCTCCACTGAGAGAAACTGAGATCACCAGAGGAAAGTGGCTTTTCGGTGGAGCGGCCCGGAAGATTCCAATGATATATACATGTTCATGTTCCCTTCCAACTTCCTTTTCCCCGGCACATGACGAGTTACTGCAAGGATGGTGTTCGATTAGCTGCGAAGGGCCTTGAGTCGAAGCGGACCGTTGGAGCTACCAAGGCAGTTCGATGATGCGGACATGAAGATTCTACACAACTTGGGCATTGAGACTGACGCAGTCATCCACAACGCACGCCCTGGGACCTTATACGATGAGGCCGCAAGACAAGATGTGCCTGGAATGTGTGAGGTTCTAGATTCTAGACCTTGGACCTGCACCAAGATTCAGTCGAGAGAGGAGTGGGTCAAAACGTCCTGAATCCAGGAACTCCTTGAACAGCCAAACTACACCTCACCATCCAGAGACAGGGAAGCAGCTTCAGGGCGGGTAGAGACATTTGGATCAGTGAATCAACACATTGGCCATACCAGGAGGGATCTAACGACATGAAAGAGAGTTGATGTTGGCTGTGGAAACCTTGGTTTTTTCTGTGTGAACACCCTACCTTTGTCAGCGTTTTGCCGTGTTTTGGGTGGTCAGAACGTCCTGTGATTTCATTTGCCTCCCCTGTACGGCTTCCGCAGTTGCACGCCCTGAGCCAGTTGCCCCTCGCAGGCCTTGCGCTACGAGAAGGGCTCCGCCATTTTGTCCACTGGCGCATTGGCCGCCTACAGCGGGGCCAAGACGGGGCGCTCGCCCTTGGACAAGCGAGTCGTCGAGGAGCGGAGCATGTGTGGCATCGCGGAGATGGAAACCAAGAAAACAAAGTGACTAACATTGTAATTAACTGTAACATGTTTTTCTTTGGAATAATGTATAGATATTACATTATATTGCTTTATATATATATATATGTGTGTGTAATTAACACGTCATGGCCGTCATGGTGAACTACTTTGGTGGGTAAAGGTGGTGAAAGCTTCGATTTCAACACGTACCATAGTGCGTGATGTGTCATGCCTTCAAGGGGTGGTCAAAGGTGAAATAGTTCCAAGATGGTAAAGAGACAGGAAAAACATGAGGAACATGTGTGCCAGCGGAAAATTAGGCCTATTCCACATTTGTGCCAGTGGTTCTGCAAGTGTCAAGGAAGATGAAGGGACTAACACACGCAGCTCTTTGCACTGCAAAGGCATCATGTTTGTATGCTGAAACCTTCTAGTCACATGCACATTGGACCAGAAACTAGGTCATTTGGGGGACTGCTGGGTCCCCTTCACCATCAGATCGAGAAAACAATTCATCAATTTGTTGGCCATACACATATGCAGTATGTAGCGCAAGGGGTGTTGCCTGACCAGTTTGCAAGTGGTGGCCACTTCGAAGTTGGACTCACTTTTTCGTCCAGGGGATCATGGAGATTCGTGTGAACAAGGGGAGGTTTCTTTTCCCACACGCACTTTGGAGTCAGGTTTCTATGCAGGTTGACTCAGGTTGACAGACGGGTTGTCTCCATGAGCAGAACCAGTATGCGCCTTCAGAACGGAGAACGGAGTGAAAGGATCAGGCTCAAAGGCACCCGAAACTTCAGGAGGAATCGACTGTGGACGACATTTGGTGGGGCTCGGTGAATGTCAAACTTGCAGAAAAGAGCTTCATCATCAACAGAGAGCGAGCCATCGACTACCTCAACACACGTCCCAGACTGTATCCTGGCATTGCTGAGTCGCTTAGTTATTGCGTTTTGAGTGTAGTGTGATGTTCCATAGCTTGCTCCACCGAACAAGTACGCAATTTGGGTGTCAGTGTTCAAATAAATGAGACCGATTGCATTGAGCTCTACTTCAGGGGTCTTCAGTAATAGAGTAGCAATTGGATACTTCATCATCCCAGGTTTTGAGTTTGTGGCTTTGAAGCTGTGCTGTGCACTCCTCTAATTAACTATATTGCTGAGTCCACGGAGGGTGGCCTAACTAGCATGCTTAAGCAACCTTTAGAACCACCTTTACCCCCTCGAGGGTCATTTACTTGTGACCTGAGGTATGTCCTTGATGGCTTCGCTGGCTGGGACCCTGACTACCGCTACAAGATGTTCAGCTGCACAAGAGTTGCTGTGTTCGTTCGTTTGCACGCCATGAAATTCAGCAACGTTCATCTTCGACGAAATTCGGTGCTCCCAGAGCCTGTTGTTTGGTTTGTGTCAAGATTTGGCTGAGGATCCGGGTGATCACGAGTCGCGCGTACCACGCCCTCTTCATGCACAACATGTTGATCCGCCCCACCGAAGAAGAGCTCGCACACTTCGGGGAGCCGGACTACACCATCTACAACGCAGGTGAGCCGCCAGCTGGATGGCATCATGGGATGTCTGACGTAAAAGACCTGCAGAAACACATGCCTACGTATATAATCACAAGTGGATAAACGTGTTCAAGTGGATAAACGCAGGTGAGCCAGCGTGATGGAATGCAAAAACCTTTTGATCAGACTAGACACGTTTGTAGTCGCAAGTAGACAGACCTGAGCGTAGGTGTTGTGTTCAGAGATGGTTTGTCGCTCACTTGCGATCGGGTCGCGTGAGATGGTTCCAATTCTCTAGGATATTCTAGGATCGAAGATCTTTTTGATTTGAGGACTTTGATGACACATACTGTAAATAATCAGGCTGAGAAGGCTGTCCTTGTGCAACATTGAGGCCGCTCAGATTGTGGTTTGAAAACGTTGTATAGGCCAGTGCACCATACTGTTATTAACTATTTCAGCCTATAATGTGTATAGGCAGCACTGCCCAACATGGGCCGTGCTCGTCGCGCTATAATGTGTATACGCCCAGTGTTTGATTCAACCTATGTGCGTTGAGAGTTGCCGCTGGGAGGGCCCCCAAAACAGGACTCCGTTTGGCAGCCATCTTTGGACCGCCACCTTCGAGGGTGGCTGGCAGCATTTGTTGTTGACTGAACCATGGTCCAATGGTCCAATGTCCCGCTGAACCCCCATGGTGAACAGTGGCTAGGTGCTCATCAGCCCTTGCAGACTCAGATGTGCTCAGGTGCTTTCCCTGCAAACCGGGCCACTGAAGGCATGTCAAGTGGCACTTCAGTGTCGTTGAACTTCAAGACTCGGGAGGCAGGATGGGAACGTAGGAAGGAGGGGTAGGCAGGTCATGCTGGGCTTGGGCTGTTTGTGGACTGGGGTAATTATATATAGGTTGTGTTGGTCAAGAGGGGTTACTGAGGAGCAATGGATCCACTCTAACAATCACACCCCTCCTATCCGGAAGGTTGGAGACCTCAAACGAACCCATTTGGTTGGAGTTTGTTTGGCCAGCAGCAACTACTCCCAAGCAAGTCGAAGAGGAGCGAACCTGGATGGAGCACTACTTTTCTTGGCGTGTCCATTGCACTTCTTCAGGGAGGAACGGGTAATACAAATGACCAAAGGAACATGCTATGAGTACAAACAAGTATAGTATGTATTATATTGTATTTTGATTGTATATAGTTGCCTAAAACGTCTTCAGGGGCCTGTGAGCCATGACGCGATCGAGCTTTATTGAATCAGTTTTTGCACGATTTTTTTCTCTTGCACGCCGGCGTCGTGGCATCAAGGCCCAGGTAGGCAGGTATCCTTTACCCGGACAGATGAAATAGAAGCAGGAGAAACGAAATAGATGTTTTTGTTTTGTGCAACTTGAATCTCAACCACTTGCACACATTCATGAAAAGGATGTCAACATGTGTTCAGTTTCTGCGACGGCAATGGATCACGAGATGGATCTGTAGCAGCCGACGCTGCGTCGGCGCATGGATGCGGGAACTCCGTTTCTGCAACTTGGCGTTACGAGCAGTTGTTTAAGGTAGCAGATGCTACGCGATGGATGGGGTGGGGTGGGGTGCTATTGACATGTGCTCTTACATGGAGACTTTTGAATGGCGACAAAAGTCGTATGTGCAAGCCTCGACACCACACTTCGTTTCATTTGATCTGAGGAAGCTAGTCTCTCACAGTCCTTCTAGGCCATCTACTTCAGCCCCTGCAACGCCTCCGCAACGACGGCCAATACTGGCCACTTGATGTCTTAAGTTCTCTTTTCCCAAACTTTCTTCATTCTCCCCTGTAGTGTGGACGTTGCACGCTATCCACATGATGGTCGTGGAATTGCTATGAAGGACTTTTGCAGTGTTCAAGGGTTGGCATTTGCTTTTGTTCCACGTCTCGTTGGAAGAAGAATAGCCTAAGAACATGCTTGCAACGATGACACGGAAACCACATTCAGGAACCATTGTCTCCTTGCTCTTGGGAAGATCAACATGACTACGACTACGATCAACCTTTGACTCCTTTGAGTCGTGATCTTCTACGCGGACAAATGCAGCGCAAACGAGAATTGGAAGATTCCTCATTGCAGATTTCAGCTTTTTATTCTTTTTTGGTTGCAGACCTTGCCATGCTAACTTTTCCAAAAGAAGAAGGGCCTCATTCTGCGGACGGGTTTTTTTGAACTTAATCAACTGCAGGAAATGGAGTCCGAAGCGGACCTGTTCCAAGATGATCCTTGTGTGCAGCCAAACCTGCTTTGTATGCTGACGGGGCGCTCTCGTGGCAGAAAATTGCCAAAGACTTGAAGGTGCCGATAGTGCAAGTCAGCCATCAGAGAAAAGTTTTTGCTAAGCAGGTGTCGGCTCCACACTAAGCTGTGTTGAAGTTAAGAGTGTACCAATGGCTGTGGCGCCGAAACCTGAAGGTTACCACAGATCTCACACCTGATGAGATGCTGAAGCAGCTAGCTGCTGCCTGCAAATTGCGCTGAAAGAGAAAGTGTGCGTCGTCGGATGTCGAAGTCATTAGTTTCGGGCGACCCCAGTTTCACAGTTTTTTCAATTTTGATCGGATTTCCAAGGCGTTTTTGCCGACCATGCTGCTGCCGTCCACAGGGTCTGAGGGACGTTGTACCCATATAGTTACATATACATTTACATATGCAATACATATATATATATATATATGCCTTGCTTCAATGCAATCATGTCACATGTCACAAACGAGGATGAGAACCTCTCTTTGTCACGATCGCTTATTTTCAGGTAGTGATTTTGGGCTCGCAGTACGCCGGCGAGATGAAGAAAGGCGCAATGCTGTTCGCAGAGTCTTCATCTCACGAAACATAGATGTTCTGAAATAAATCCTCTGTGTTTGGTTTCTCAGAAGTGGTTCTACCTATAAACCCATTCAAGTCAGGAACATTTTTGGATGGTCAAGCCCACAGCTGATGTGTGTTGCTCAGGCCTTTGTCCCAATTTACATCAATTTACTGTAGATTTGTTTGTTTGTGGCAGTCTTCGTGGCTAGGCGTTTTCACCATCATGAACTATCTCTTGCCCAAGCAGGGCATTCTCAGCATGCACGCGAGTGCGAATGAGGGCCAGGATCGGTGCACATGGTATGCAATCTGATATGTCAAGCCACTGGAGGTATTGTAGAGATCTGAAATCAGCCCACAACCACCCACAGAGTCCAGAATGCTTGGGACTCTATCATTTGCAGGGTCCCGTAGTTGTTCTCCCACTGGGAGTGGCCCCAAAACCCGGTGGCTATCATCCGAAGGGCCGAAGGGCGCCGCAGACGTCGGGGCCTGCAGGACGGCGATGTCACGGTGTTCTTTGGCCTCAGCGGCACGGGGAAGACCACGTTTCTTGGAGTGAACGGTCGACCGGGAGCAGGACTAGGTCATTAGAAACATTAAGAACGAAGATCTTTCGGGGCCGCAATTAAGCAAAGGGATCCTGGATGAGAGGCGAGGGATGTGGATCATAAACTTTTGAGTTGGTGATCCAAAGTCCTTTTTTGGCCCAGACAGAGGACTTTGTTTTTTTTTTGTGTTTGTTTTTTTTGGCCAAGATAGATGGGTTCTGTTTGGGTGCCCCACCCAAAGTCATTCTCAAGGTGATGGCTCTCAAAGACACTGGTCCGAAGAGCTCGTCATCACCATTCAGTCTCCACATGCCTTTAGGGCACGTAATCCCTGCGGTTTTGCTGCTGTTTTTGGTCTATGAGACCTTTGGTTCATCGAGGTCAAACACAGGGTGGATGGGCAGTCTTTGGCCAACCCTCCCTAGAACCTACTCCCAACCTCCAAAGGTTGTCGGCGGATGAGAACCGGAAGCTTATCGGTGATGATGAACACGCCTGGACAGACAAGGCAACGTGGACCACTTGTAGTCGGAGAAAGCATTGACTGGAGGGACCCACTCTGCATACATGGCTTGAATGCTTAAATGAATCGCTCCTACTAGATCAAGATATGTGTATCCCAACAGTCCTTCGCAAAACATATGTTATGTACTTGACTTGGGTTTTTTTATTAAAGAAACCAAGTGTCATTGATGCAGGAATGCATGCACTGCAGGTGTGCAAGTGCTAAGGACATTGGGAAAAACCTGTGATCGCATGTTTGTCTCACGCGTCAGTCACTGGTTGCAGGGCGTGTTCAACATCGAAGGTGGCTGCTACGCGAAGCTTGGTCACGTCTCGCTTGCGAAACAATCCGAAACAGCATTAGGGCAAACTGTCGGTAAAGCTTGTAGAGACTTACCCTATTAGCGTACAGCATTCACTTGTTCTATCAAGCTTGGGCACGCAGACTTGTTGAAGCAAACTGATGTAGTTTAATAATGTTTAATATTTGTCTCAGCATGTCGCAGCATTACCAGGAAGGCTATTGGCCTCACCAGGGAGAAGGAGCCGGAGATTTGGGATGCCATTCGCTTTGGCGCGCTCTTGGAGAACGCAGCTTCGGCAAATAGGGAGGGGTTTAGCGCTCAATAGTTCCATTCTTTGAAGAGAACCTATCACAATGAGACACGCCCGGTGATGGTATGAGACTGCAAAATTGCCTTTGACCAATTGGATGGAGCTTCCTGCGTAAGATAGTTAAGTAGCAAGCTAGCGACTTGCTGTAGACACAGCCGAGTGGCTGTCGGAGCTTTGGTCTTATGTTGCGCATTCTGACCGTTGCGAACTAGAGCCGTCCTAAGTCCTAATTGAAGTCTCGCTAGTGTGGAGTTAGCAGTCCCAAGCAGATGGGGGGAACAAGGCTTGCTACAGAATCACGGCACATCGCGGCGAGGAAGGAAGCATTCCCGGGGCTATGCCGCTATGTCATTAGACCAATGATCGCACAAAACAACAGCTATTTCAGCATAATTAGCGCATGCCGCATGTCCTTTCAATGCAGTGTGTGTTTTTCGATTTCTTGGCAAAGCCACGCAGAAATGTCAGGTGGTGTTCGACCAGCGCACTGGTGAAGTGGACTACAACGACAACAGCATCACTGAGAATACCCGGGTCTCGTCTCGCAGCTTCCAATTATGGGGAATGCGTGCTACGGCGTGGCCAAACTGCTAAACCCCTGCCCAGCAGCTTCCCACCACTTCTTGCAGTTGCCAAACCTACCGACCGGCCCAATGTTTTGGTTTTTGTTCCTCAGTTTTGATTACTGATTTCTTTGGCCGTCAAGTTCATATATAGTATATTATAATATATAATATATATAGCACCATCAGGTACCCACTGGAGTACATCCCCAATGTGAAGATTCCTGCAGTTGGTGGTCATCCGAAGAACATCATCATGCTACTTGGCATCATTGGCAATTTGTGAGCCATTTTGTGGAAGCGCGCAATCTGCAGGGAAAGAGGAACATGCAGCACCAGCCGTCCTGGAATTGAGCCTGGATTGGAGATTCAAGCTCAGAAGTTTACAACTCCGAAGCATTTGGCACGCCATGTTGTTTGCCAAACAGATCTAGATTTGGAGAATTTGAGCAGCTTGCATGCATTACATGCAGGTCTGAAACATCCTGCTTTGGTTCGTAGTTGCGATGAACGCTTGATGTGCAAGCAAAAAAGAACTCCCACAGAACTGGAGCTTCCTTCAGAGTCCAGGCAATGGCCAGTGCTTCAACCATGATAGGGCCAAGTACTACAGAACCGCGGGTGGTTCTTTTTTCTGGTAGAGTTACATTCCCGGCCACATGAACTTTTGACATGAGTCAAGAGTCGCATGTTGATTGGAGCCCCTTTGATGGGATGTCAGGCTCACTTGCGATGCCTTTGGCGTTCTTCCACCAGTCTCCAAGCTCACGCCAGCACAAGCCATGCACCTTGGACAATGCAAAACCGATCGACTCCAGGTGTCCTTTCAAACGATGACCCCTACGAATTGGAGGAGTTTCATTGGTAGGGGTAGTCGTCTCCAAAGAGACTAGTGTTCTCTTGCTTGGAGACTGTTCTATGAATTCTTTTTGAGGGGATGTGGAGTCCAAATACTGCATACTCAGGATTTACGCGGCAAACAGCCGGACAAAAGCCGAACCATCCCTTTTGCGTCTATCATGTGTCGCTATGAGTTCTATTATATATCTCTCATGCAAAGTCCCAGCAGCTAGGACCGCGGATGTTCCTTCTCTGCTTGGGCAGAGGAAGCATGGGTTGCGAGGACGGCTGGCACCGAGGTATCACTTCATCTCTGGCTACACCGCAAAGGTGGCTGGCACCGAGGCGCGGGCGGCGCGGGCGATGGATGCTGGTTTACGGCCACCAAGTCTGTGGGATCCGCACATTGGTGGACCATGGTGGGCGAGACTGGGGGTGAAACCTTTGCAGAAAGAACTGGTTTGTTGCAGCCAAAGAGGTGAACCACACGATGTCTCACCTTCCCGTTGGCAGCATGTCTCCAAGCTGGCCAGATGGGCGTGAGTGAGCCCACCGCCACCTTCTCCGCCTGCTTTGGTGCCCCCTTCATGGTGTGGCACCCGGCCAAGTATGCCGAACTGCTGGCTGAAAAGATCCTCGGTTGCTGCAGAAAGGCTTTCTGTTTCATGGACACCGTTTTGGAGCATGTTTGTTGGACAGAGCGTATCATGTTCTGTCAAACTGCAAGTCCTGTGGGTCGGTCGAACTCCGTAGAGCGGGGGGCCCAACCATTGGGGTGGTTCATGAGTCTTTTCTATTGGGATGAGGGCAGTGGGTTCTCCGCTTTGCGCCACATCCTCGTATGGGAAAATACTGTATCTATAGAAGTATCTAGACTGTATCTAGGTGAACACGGAACATACTCACCCTTGGCCTCGGGATCCTAACTTGCTTGTTTCATCTTTTTTCCTCTTCTTTATTGGGTTAGGTCGGTTAGGAAGGCTGTGGTGGCTGTCGTGTTCAAAGGAACCCGCCGGTTTTCACGCCGAACGATGAGCAGATGTTGCCCTTCGACCTCGGACTCGAGTCTTCAAGACACCTCAAGTCTTCTTCCCCTGTCGAACATCTAAGAACCGTGAAAACAACAGACAGACAACTCAACACAGCCTATTGAACACGACGTCTCCAAACAGCTTGCAAAACCACAGCATGGTCAATCCATTGTCACCGGATGAGTTTGTTCCTCACGGAAACCTAACACCTCTAATGAAATCATGAAACCATGTTTGATAGTTGTGTCTTCACCACACCCTGCATACAACAGAAGGAAGACATACCATTAGACAGTCCATATGTCATTCGTACAACATATCCAAAGGAATCTCCTCAGACTAGACTCGCGGAGACATGTCCACACATTCGGGCGTGGCCGCGTGACCGGTGCCAGGATGGCCAAGCACAACGTGAACGCCTGGCTGATCAACACCGGCTGGACGGGTGGTGCCTTCGGCCTGGGCCACCGCATGAGCTTGAAGGCGCTTGAACCCGGAGCACGGTGCGGAGCGAACGCGGAGCGAACGCGGAGCGAAGGCGGGCCGTTGGTGTTTGTGGGAACGCATGGCTTTCATAGGTTTTTATTAAGGAAGAGAGGGGGAGAAACAGAAACTCAATCAATTTTGTTGGCAGGTGAGTGATACTTGGTCAATTATGACTCATGACTCATGACTCTTATTTCGGTTCAGGTGCTCCTTGGCCAGCTGTTTTCTAAAACAGGATGCTTGGCTGCTGCCACATCTGTTTGGGTGAGATGGGCAAAGTACAAAAAAACACAACCCCACGATAGAGTTGAAAAAACTGGTGGGGAAAGTGGGAATTCCTGGAACAACCTTGACATTGTCGAGGAGGGAGCGCGAGCCTTCCCTAAGTCTTATATCGGAGACTCCAGGACATGTCATGCTAATCTTCACAGAAGGCAGAACTGAGGGCTGAAGCCCACAGGTCGCAGACACAGCGGCACATCGACGAGAACTTTGTTAAAAACCAGACTTCTCCAAGGTTGACAGAATGTAGAAGTTTGATTTATAAAGAAAAGACAGATGAAGAGCTTTTTGCAATCCAAATGCGGGGTTGTTTTGTTAATCAAGATTCCACTAGTGTGGGGGCACAAAAACCTCGAAATGGATCAAGCCGCTGTTGCCGACAGGATACTCGTGCCATCATTGATGCGATCCACTCGGGTGATTTGGCCAAGGTCGAGTACGAGAACTTCCCCAGGCAGCCAGGCTAAATCCGTGAGGCACACCCCTTGAAACAGTCGTGGTTAAGTGGATGGCCTGGCCCGGAAAGGAGGACCATGTTCCGAACACCAAACAGGTGGTTTTGCACTTCCATGATTATATCTAGGAGTGTAAGCTGCTATTGTGCAAGAGTTGTGTCTTCAAAATATGGGTGCCCACCCACCATGATCCACCCTTTTCATGCTCGACCTTTGAGCATGATTCTAAAACTAGAGATCGACTGTGATCGACTTTGAGACTTTTGAAGGTTCAATTTGGCGGTGCCGAAGAGTTGTCCCAACGTTGATGCCAAGATCTTGCTCCTCGGCACTTTCCCCGCGGGCCGCGCGCCCAAGCTTCTCGCGCGCGGGGGGATGGCCCTTCTCGCGTGCTTAGGAGGCTTCTTAGCACTCAGAGCTCCGTTTTGCATTGGGTGTGGAACTTTGCCAACAAGATGATTGAACTGTTGCTGAGTCCAGAAAAGGTGATGTTTCCAGGAGGCTTAATTACATTGTTGACCTTTCACTTTGAAGCCCTTGCCAACATTGATGTTCTGAAGCTGGAGGGTGAGGCTTTCACTCATTAAGATTATTGCAGATAGCTTTACCCATAGCTTACCATGCCCAAGACATGTTCCATGCAGTTCCGCGGCAATGCGCTCTCTCTATTGATGGTTGCTGGGGCAAAGAGGTGACGTTCGGCAGCCGAACGCCGCTGGTGTAGGAATTCAGGTGAGCAAGCCAACTCTGTTCGGAATCGTCGCCGCGACCACTGCATCGAACATGAGGGATTGAAAATGGGTTGGAGGATGTTGGAGGCAAGCTGTTTCAACGATATGGATTATATAGAGGAACCATAGCAAGATGCTAGTAGTAATTAACATGCACCGATGTTCAGGGGTTCCCGTTGTTTGTTATTGTAGTCAATTCCCAAGATTCAAGGCAAATTACTTCTGCCACTCAAGGCTACTGGAACCCATCCTGCCTCATCGGAACCCCCCCTCAAGAGCCCTCATGTACCCCATGTAACTTTAGATCCACTTCCAGCTGCACAATTGGCCGAAGACCACCCAGTTCCAAGCTGGCTCCGTAGCAGCACACCCTGACACTCCATGTCACAAAAGATCGCTTGCAGGATGCCGAACAAGACTTGGTTGGACCAGTCGGAGTTCGAGCGAATGTCAGCCAAGCTCTCAGGGCTTTTCAAGGAGAGAGCCTTCTGGACCCGGGGAAGCACCACACGAAGCCAGCGGGCAGGTTTGAAGAGGCATGAAAGTCAACAAGGGTTCTACCAACAATCGCAGCACAGGGCCTTTTTCCATGAATCTTAGGCCGCGGCCAGAGGAACCCATTGGTTGCTTTTGTCCTGTCTGGCTTTCTTGCCCTTGCTTGTTTCATGGTATATAGTGAGTGATTGAACCGGTGTTTCTTCCAAAGGCCAAAGATTTTCCAACGCTTTGGACCATACGTTCAATCAATCCCTTCAAGGATGATCCAATTCCGTGTCAGCATGGTGGGAATTGCAAAGGCCACTCGTGAAACACAACCCAGGTGGCTACACGACTGTCCTCCGCACTGGGCCAGGAGAACTTCACCAAATTCCAAGACGGATGCTCTGCTGACATCAGGGCAGCAGCTCCACAGTAGATATAAATAGCAAGAAAAAGGCGAGCGTACTGCGTGTGGTAATGATTTAAGACTTAAGATATACTTCAGCCCCTTGAAGGTCCAAAAGGGCATCTCTTCTTGGCCAAGCCGGTATTTGGGCCGGACTGAGCTTCGTTTGCAGCAAACATATGGCCAAAAAGGACCTTTGAGGGAAGCTTTTTTAGACTGTGATGTGCGAAGATACATCGTTCGCATGTCCTTATCAGCGGACCCTGGGAACAGAAGTCCCATGTGTGCTGACCACAAAGACTTTGTCGCACAAGCCGATTGTAGAAGTCAAGCCGCTGCACTTGGCAGTTGCAGGACCGGAGTGCGGTGGAACGGCGAATGGGCCCCCCAACCACACACCAGGCATGGCCTTTGGAAGGAGATGTTGGTCGAAAATAGAGATTCTGAAAAGAGCCACCTCCACCTTCAATCGGCACAATGTGTTATGATGAAACCGGCAGTGATGTGAATTGAAACGGCACCATGTTTTGTTTAGTTGAATTCCTTCCAAACGCCAGCTGCCTTCGGTTTGAAGGACAGATTTTGTTTGGATTCTTTTGGCCCGAAGCGGCCTTCTCTTGATCGGCGGATTTCTGGTGATGGCGAGCTGTACACCAACTAAAGCGAGCAAACCATGAACGAGGCAAAAAGTGGCGCAGTGCTGTGAGTGAGCTCCCCTACAAACCAGTATATGTCTTCCAGTCTCTCTAAATCGATGAATTGGTCACTTGGAATTTGAGCCAAGCTCTTGCTTCTCACGATGCAACTGGGTTCTGCCACAGACGGCGAAGCAGGGTTTCTTCGGCGATTCGCCGCCCGGACGAACGCGCAGGAACCGACCTTCGGGGAAGGTGCTCGAGTTCCGAACCTCACGAACGAGTTAACCATGTTGGCCTTTCAAGTGGCTCGGAGTTCCTGACCACTCTAAACCTGGCTCTGGTTGTGGGCACCAAAAAGAGACTCTAGTAACTCTAGTAGCTGCTTGTGGAAGAGCCGAAGTTGTTACTGATGGACTACTTTTGGATGGGATTGGTACCGCAAAACCAAAGGCGGTCGTTTTACCGCGCTCGAACAAAAGGGCTTCGTATGGCCTCTGGTTTCACTTGGTACACTTCTCGAAGGTTGTGCGTGTTCTCGCACCCCTCAACTAGGTACACTTCTTGGTTCGTGCACCATTCTTCACCTAAAAACTTGGTACACTTTTCTATTTGTGCACCGGCACTCCCCCTTGGCCAAAATGGCCAATTTCGGTGCTCTTCAAAAAGCGGCCTTTTTCGGCCTCAGCTCAAGCCCTTCACTCCAGCCGGGGCGTGCGGAAGAGTGTATACCCGACCCATACGTCAGGCAAATGGACACTCCTCTTCCCCTGCCTCCGGTCCACCAGGATGTACTTCTCCTTCTTGATGGTCGCCCAGGCAATCGTCAGCCTCCATGGCAGCCATTCCTTCTCGTCCCATAGGTGAGGATTCTCGAAGTCAAACATTTTCTTCCTCTCTTGAACGTGTTCCCGAATCGTCACCTTCCCGCCATCTGGCAAGTCCTTGATGGTCAACCATGTGTCCTTCGCCGCCGTTCGCTTCGGCGGAATCCCAACCTTCCTTCTCAGGGCCGCCGTCAGAAAGCCCGGCTGGAAGGTCTCGTCCTGCAGGAAGTCGAAAACCTCCTCCCTCCATAGGGTCCACTTCCCGAGAGTGATCCCGTCTCCCACTGGCGAGACAAAGTTCAGTGCCTCGCTCCGCATGCCGATCCGCCGGCCCCCCAGGGTCCCCTCCTCGGGTTCTTGACTCTTCGCCTCGGTCTGGTCCCCAGTCACCTCCTTCTCTTCCATCTCAGCCGCCGCCAAGCCCGATGCCCTTCCGGATGTCGAGGATGAAGTTCCCCTCCCCAATCCTGGGTCAAGTGCTGGCGTCGCCGGTAGATTGGGGCGTCGATCTGGACCATGTTCATTGTAGATCACTCGGGTGCCCTTGGAGTCCATCATGATCCAGGTTCCCCCAAAGTTCCTCCGAGGTCCTCTTCGTTCCATCATGCGATCCCATGCTGACATTCCCAGTCCCAACGAGGCTCGCCTCTCCCTCTCGGCTTCGGGATCGTAGGGTCCACGATGCCATAGGTCAGGATCGGGTACCGGATGGCGCGCAGCTGGTCCAGGTCGGTCTGCAGATAGTTGGCTCCGGTCGCCACCTGCATCAGCCGATGTCTGCCCAGGGTCCGTCTCCGGTGCTTGAGCCTGTTCCGAACTCACCCTCATAGCCCTCATCGAGATTCTGCTCACTGGATTTCTCGTTCCCAGCTCCTGCCTCTGGTAGAGTGGGTCATCAGGATCCGCCCATGGGTATGCCTCCTCGTGGGCTGAATATCCGAACCCTCGATTTCCTCGGGCAGTCTCGCTCAAATCCTCCACGTGGTTCACTCCCACCTCCAGGATCTTCTCCACCACCAATTGAGCGATCCGATCTCCCTTGTACACTCGAAGGTCTTCATCCGCCCAATTCCTCAGGAGGACTTTCACTTCGCCCCGGAAGTCCCGGTCCACCACTCCAGCTCCCGTCTCAATGCCTCGGATTGCCAACGATGATCGTGGGGCTATTCGTCCATAGGTCCCAGCCGGCAGCTCGATGGCAATCCCGGTCTTGATCAGAACGCTTTCTCCTGGAGGGACCAAGGTTTCAATGGTCGAGTACAGGTCTAAACCAGCGGCTTGATCCGATCCTCTGGTCGGCAGTCGGGCCTCCGGGTTGAGCAGTTTCACCTTAATTTCCTCTTTTGGCCTGAACCAGCGCTGAATGCCCGAAGTTCCCACTCGAAAGGCGATGTCAACCAGGATAGCGATGGCTGCCGTGATCAGCACAATGATCCACCATTCACTCGTGGACTCCACCGCCTCCATCTCAGCTGCCTCCACTCTTCCCAACAGACTGGTGGCCGCAATGAGGAGTCCAATTCCTCGAGTGAATCCCGGTTCAACCTTCTTGATGAGCTCAATCTTCTTGACCGCGATCGGCTCCTTCTCTGCCCCCTTCAAACCCAGAGCTTCCTTGAACCTTCCCAGTGCTGGTCCTGTGAGTTGCTTGGTGAAGCCATCAGCAACGAGGACCTTCCCGGACACATGATCCAAGGTGACCTCCTTCTCTCTGATCGCCTCGGTGAGTCCAGCTGCTCTGATTCGTAGGTGTCTCGTCCTCCATGAGGATGTCGTCCCCGTCGCGATGGCAATAGCAGCTGTCGAGTCTGAGTGAAGCCTCACCTCCGCCTTCTCCTCCACGACTGCTTCCAGCAAGGCTGCCGTAGATCTCCCTGCGATGAGTCCTTCCAACATCGCCATCAACTCGGCTTCTGCAGTTGAAAGCGTTATGAACGGCTGCCGTGTCGTCTGCCATCCGACGGGCGTTCCTCCGACAAAGACGACTACCCCGGAAATGCTCTTCAGCTCCGACGAACCATAGGAGGCATCCGTGTAGACGTCGACCGTCCTGATCGAGGCCTTCTCATCGTTGTTGACATTCTCCCGATTCTCACCTCCGTCCGCGGACATGACCAAGACTTCCTCAAGCGTCTCCTTAAGGTGGGTCCGGATCTGCTTCCCGATTTTTATCACCTGCGCCGGCCTCTTCGATGCCCATTGAGACATTGATGCCAACGCCCAACGACAGGTCGGGCCGTGATCTTCCCGCCACCCACAAGAGCTCACCCGTCTCCTTCTGTGCCTGGAGAACTTGGTCCGACGTTGGGTGTTCCTCCTCCTCGGGAGTTCGGACCTGGCCCAAGGCGCCTCTTCCAGTCTCCTCGTACTCGCTCAGCAGGTTGGTGATGTAGGCCTGCTGGTGAATGACATAGTCGACTCCGCGCTTCTCTATCTCCATTCCCAGGAATCTCACGGGCTCTCGCCCTTCCACCACCCATTCTGGTTCTCCAATCTTCCAATGGGTTTTCACCTGTTCGATGGACCCCAGGATGATGTCCTCCTCCCCCACCATGAGGACGTCGTCCACGTATGTCGCCAATGCTCCCTTCGTCTTCCACCCAACCTTCTCATCCTCCTCCTGGATTAGCCAGTGTCCGTTTGAGGGGTGGCCTGTACTCGGACTGGTCTTCCTCGTCGATGCCATCGGAAGTCCTTGATCTTCCCATCCCGGTGGTCACACCAATCACGGGGAGACGTCACTAACCCGTAGAGTGCTTTCTTCACCAGCCACAACTCCTTGGGGTTAGTCAACACCTCCGCCTCCTGGAAGATCCTTGGTGGTTGCACGATGATCGTGCCTCGTTCGTGGGCTGCAGGAGCGTTGAGGAAGGCGGTCTTGACGTCTAACGTCGCCAGGGACCACTGGTTGACAGCTGCCAGCTTGATCAGCATCCTCACTTCAATCCCACTGGCCCCGGACGCAAAGGTCGACTCCGTGCTCTTGGCGTTCATGAAGTTCCCGCAGGCCACACCCCGACACTTGTGTCGCCCGGATCCTGCCTTTCGACTGAAGATCGCCTTCGCCGGGACGAGGTCAAACTCCTTCCCCAGAGCCGCCGCCTCTGCCTTCAGCTGGTCGGCCCGCTCTCGGTTGATGGGCTCCACAGCTTCCGATTCCGTGATCAAAGCCGTGTACTCCTCCACCATTGATGGTTTCCACTCCTCCAGATTCTTTCGGACTTCAGCCAGACCGACCATCCTCGTCTGGAGGAACTCCTGCACATCCCCTCGCGCCTGCTCTGCCTCTGTCAGCCGGGCCGTATCGACCTGTCGCCCCTGGATCATCGCTTCCTCGGCGATCTCCTCCACCTCTGCCGTTAACATCTTGATGAACCTCTCGTTGACAATCTCCCCGTCGTTCTCTTCAAGGAGGGCCAACTCTCGGGCTAGATGTCTGGCTCCTCGGTGATGGAGCTCCCCCCAGTCTACGGCCTGAATCTCCTCGGCAGGTCCCTGAAGGAGTCTCATGCATTTCCTCACTCGCCCTGGCCTCTTCCGGGGCTGATCCACTTCCTCTCGGTCGTCAACCTCATGGATGAAGCCAGCCTCCCTCTCCGGAACCTCCAACTCCGCAGGTGCCTCACCGACCTGGATGATGTCTCCCGTGTGGAACATCTTGCCGGATTCGATCTCCTGAACCAAATACCCTGGAGTCGTCATTGACATCGTCACAGCCGGGCACAACACTCGGACCTTGGTGCGGGTCGTCGAGAGGTACTTCTGCCTGTCGCTGTAGTACTTCCTTTTCGCCCAAACCACCTGACCGAACGGGACCAAGTCCCGCTTTTTCCACCCCATCGACTCCAATTGACGTCTCAAGCGACCTTCTGCCCAATGCCTGGCCGCATGACACCAGAAGCTCTCATCCAAACCGGCCGCAATGAGGAGTGTTCGTGCGCCACGTTTCACCTGGGCAATCGCATTCTCAGCACGGCCATTTCCCTTGAAGTTGTCGCCGTCATTGAAGGTTCTCAGTATGCCCCTGTCGTGGCACCACTTGTGGAACGCTCGGGATTGGTACTCCCCCGCGCGATCCGAGTGTAGTCGCTTGACCGGGAGTCCCAAGAAGTCAAGCTTGGCTGCCATCCTCCCGATCGCCTCAACCACTGCTGGTCCTCCTCGGTTCTCCAGCACCTCAACGACCAGGACCTGCTTGACTTGGAAGTCTCTCTCTGCTTCCACTTTCTCCAGCCAGGCCTTCTCATCATCCAACCCTGGCCACTTTTCTCGCACACCCCCTTCGTCTTCCGCCTCGACGACCGTCAGCTCCGGGCCATCATCTAGGGCTCCTGGCAGTTCATCCTCCTCGTTGATGGGAATCAGTGACTGCCCTTCCTTGGTCACCGGAGCCAGGTAAACACCCACGAGCAGGTAGCGCCCCTTCCCCAGTTGGTCCTCCGCCACCTCAAAAGGTCCAGCAGTGTCGATCGAAAGGGTGTATGCGTCCGGATGCGGGACGCGTCTGTGAGCCTTGCTCCTCGAGGCAGCAACGACACACGCCTTGCATTCTCTGCTGTAGGGCAGGTGCCCGTTGAGGAGATGCCGCTGCCAGGCACCAAGGTCCATCCTCTTCAGGTGGGAGTCACCCCTCTCTAGTGACTCCCTCACGGCCACCACCAGCGCTGCCTTCAGGCCAGGAGCCCATGCTGCCCAGGACTTTGATCTCGCAATCCTCTCTTGGATTGAGTCTCCTCGAGGTTCTTCTCCACCATGCCCCGGTCCACGAAGTCCTTCGAGTTCCCTCAGCCTCGGCATGTTCGTGCCCAACCTCGTCGGTTTTCGACGGATTTTCCCATTGGTCCTTGGTCGAACCGCACCTCAAAGAGGTCCCACTTCTCCTTGATTGTCCGCCACTCCGGCCATGACCAGTATGTGGGATAGCGAGGATGTCGGTCCACCTCCTGCTCCGTCTTGGATTCCCCCAGGTAGGCCTCTGGATCGTCAGGCTGTTCCAATGCCGTGACCACCTTCTCAGGGGAGGCAGCCCTTGAGGCTCGGTGATGTAGATACACCTGCCTTAGCCACAAGAGAGTGTCATCCTCCACCTGCTGCTTCAACACAGGGTCCAAACCTGGCAGGCCAAATCTTCCAGGTCCTTCTCGCTCTCGAAGAGGTGGAGGACCAGGTTGTCGATACCTCAACCGGCTCATAGTCCTGCAGGGGGGTCCTCCGAGCAATGCTCGTAGTGTGCCGCCGTCAGCGATCTCGAGCAAGTAGGCGAAGACGTCATCCCGCAGGAGGTTCATTCCTGGATCAATCACCGTGTCCACACAGAGAACTGCTCTGCCCTCGGACTCCAGCTCTTTCTGCCAGTACTTCTTGGAGTCATCGCTGAACAAGTGGATCACCACCTCTCGTGCTTTCCTTACCCTCCTTCTCTCATGCCGGTTCCACGGAAGGGCCTCCCCCGTCCATCCGACCTTTGGCAGGATCCTCACCAGTAGTCGAAGAGGAACTTCCGGAAATAGTTCACGAAGCTCCCGAAGATGGTGGACTTCTCCCAACTCCAAACCACTCTGACTCTCCTCTCCGGTCAGGACTGCTAATCGTGCTCGCTCCCGAACCATGCTCCTCTCAATCTCCGCTATGAGCTCTCGTCCTAGGCCCTCCGCGACCGTCGGACACATGCCTTCGACCGTGACATCCAAGAGGGCTCCACTGGAATCAGTCAAGGTGAATCTATCTCCCTCCCAGTAGGCCTCATAGCCCAACGAGATCAAGACTCCCAAGGGCACAATGGTCTGGACCTCATTCTGGGTGAGGAGGGTCTTTGTCCATGGAATCTGCCTGAGCGTGACAGACCCCTCAGCAAGCTCCACCCTGACTTCTTGTGCCCGCTGCCATTCTTCCTCGGACTCAGCTCTCCGGAGGCAGTGTGTAGCCCCACCATCAAGAAGAGCCCTGTCGTTAGTCCGCACCTCAAGGCTGCTGAGCTTGATGGCCTTCACCGCGGTTCGACCATCTCCCACTGGCCTCAAGCTCTTCAGTAGGGTAGTTGCCTCCGACAACAGGGCTTGTACCTCCCCCGAGCTCGCGGCAGGCTTCTCCACCTTCTTCTCATCCACCACCTCCTCAACTTGTGCTTGCTGAGGCTCCTGGTTCCCCTCATTCTTCTCAATCTTCTTGATCCCGGTGCCCTTCTCAACACCCTTCTTGAAGGTCTTCATCTGCTTGTCTCCCTCCGTCTTCGGCTTCACGGAGGGGCAGTCCCTCTTGGTGTGCTTGGTTGACGAGCATCCAAAACATCGACCCTTCTTTTCTAAGCTTCCCCAATCGTGCTTGAAACGGCATTCCTGTCCCTTCCGGCAGCCATCGTCGGACCCCTAGAACCGGCAGACCTTTTCCTCCGATTTCCCATCTCCCTTTGACTTCTCGGTGCCCTTCTCCACCTTCTCCTCAATGGCGGCGGTCATCGCCTTGACCTTGGTAGTAGGAGGGGCGACCTTGGTCTCCTGGATCGGCTGTAATTCGCTGATGGCCAGGGACTCTGCCTCGGCCGTGAGCATATCCGAGAAGCTCAACACCGTCTCCAGAGTGGGTGTTACATCGACTCCCAACGTCGCCCGAGTCGACGACATTCTAAAAGCCACTTGGCTGGACGTCCGTCCCACCAACTCCGTCATCTTGTCCAAGGCTCCCAGCAGTAGCGTGGCATCCGGCGTCGCGATGTCCAGCTCCTGCGCTCGCCTCAAGCTCCTCCTCCACCCTCGAAGTGCTTCAACCACCTCGTTCATAGACTGAGGAGCCTTCGGTTCCACCAGCTGTCGAAGAAGGCGAGATCTTTCTGCGAGCCCGCCAGGTTGGTATCTCCTGAACAGTGCATACAGGACCTCAACCGAACTTGTCGTCCTGCTCGCTAGCACCTCCGCCCTGATGTTTTGAGGAGCGGCATTGATCAGCATCAATTGACCTCGCTGTTCAAGACGGCTCCACACCCCCGAGCACTCTGGAGGAGTTCGTGGCCTGATATACAAGCGCTGTACGGGTTCAGCCTGAAGCCAATCTCGATAGGCAACCATGGCCAGGTTCAACACCTCCTCCCACCACTTCCAACTCGTGGCACTCAAATCCTTCATCGTCGGCGTGATGAGCTGAATCCAGTCTCCAAGGATCAACGAGCCCAGATCTCCTTCTCGAAGGTCCTGCAAAGGTGGAAGTTCAACCGATCTGATCGCCTCCCCCCAGTTCCCATCCGACGAACTCGTTCCAAGCTGCCTCAGAACTGACTGTGCCGCCTGTTCCAGAGGAGAGCCCTTCATCAGCTCTTGCATCCCCTCTTTGACTCCATGATGTCCCGGTTCTTCGCCAGGTTGACGCCCCGGATGTAGTCCCCACCCTTGAGCTCCCCAAGAACCTGGCACTCCTGGTACTCCCGAACCTCGTTGGAGTCCGTCTCTCCTCATAGTGTCCATCGGCTTGGTCTCCATGCCACCCACCGGGAATTCCGGAATTTCCACGTCGGCCCATGCCTGACCCAGAGCTTCCTTTCTCCCACGGTCAGGTGTCACCGGTGGCGGTGCTTTAGGAGGTGAAGGTGGTGGTGTAGTCGTCGGTGGTCGCGGCTTGTCCTCAATGGCCTTGGCCGCCTTAGTTTCGACCGTCTTCCGAAGTTCAGCCAATTCCTTCTTCAAGGCCGCATTCTGTGTCATCACCGCCTTCAAGAGCTCCTGGATGTCCATCGAGATCCCTCGGCCTTCCTCTCCAGGCTCCACCCGTCCAGAAGTCGAAGGACCCTCGAGGAAACCCGCCTCCGACTCCGCTGTCGGCAACGCTGCAGGCCGCATTGCCCGGAGCATCACTTCATTCTGAAGTCGCTCGCTCCAAAAGGGGTTGGTGACGACCTTCCCTTGAAGTCCCTTCCCCTTCCCTTCCTTTTCACGACCATCGCCACGTCGGGCAGGTCCATAGACCACAGGTGGACCTCGAGGTACCGACTCGGCCAGCACCAGCTCCCCACCAGGGTAGTCCTCGATGGCCAGCTGCTCCTCTTCCTTGGCGCTCTCCATGGAGCCTTCCTCGGGCGTCGAGGATGCAGCTGCCGCGGTCGCCGCCCCGCGCTTCGCCATGGGAGCCAACGACCAGTGGGTCCGCGCGACCTCAACTGGGTGGTCTTACCCACCTAACGACCGAACGTTGGGCTCATAACCCGCAAAACCAAAGGCGGTCGTTTTACCGCGCTCGAACAAAAGGGCTTCGTATGGCCTCTGGTTTCACTTGGTACACTTCTCGAAGGTTGTGCGTGTTCTCGCACCCCTCAACTAGGTACACTTCTTGGTTCGTGCACCATTCTTCACCTAAAAACTTGGTACACTTTTCTATTTGTGCACCGGCAGGTACAACCCAGCGTCGGCATCGCAACGTTGTATGTTCTACGTATACTGATGACTGGCCGGTAGCTGAAGAGGTGGAAGGATGGTTTGTCATTGGCTTCAATTCTGCTATATATATATATATGCGCAGAACCCCCCCTTAGCCAAGGCAACTTACATGAGAAAGTTCGTGAACATATAGCAAACATAACTGGCCAAGTCCTCCTGCCGGCGACCATGTTTGTTTGAGAGGAGAGTGCTCTATGTTGCTGGTTCTTGGCATAAAGTATAGAGACAGCAATGGACAAAGAATAGCACTCTTACAGGCCCTGACCAGACTAACGGAGAAGCCGCCTCGTGCTTTTCCATCAAGTCCAACCTAGGCAGAAGAGACAAGATATGAATTGCAAGCAGCACAAACAAGAACAGATCATTCCAACTGGTTGCCACGTGCAGCACCAGCAAAAAAGACACAGCACCATTGCGGAACCAACAAGCGAGGCGGTGTTTGATTGATAATTTACATATTTTCCAAGGATGCTTTGATGAAAGTGGAGTGATTACCAAACACGGGCCCACTGGGCAAGTTCTTTACACACAAGTAGTTGAGATGCTCTACGAGGGTTTATCAATGCACCTTTGGACTTCCTTTCGGCCATCGTCGCGAACCGAAGCAAAAATAGGAACATCGTGGCAATGCCTGCAACCTTGAGTTTACACTCACATAGAGTGCTCAATTTATTTTTTTTTTCTCTCTCTCTCTCTCTCTCAGTTGCCCAAGTTGCATGCTGACCCACCATGGACTGCGAATTTGGCCTGGCCGAAGAGGCCTTGGCAATGTGTCCGGCTACTAGCATCATGATGGTGTGTCGCACCCCAAAGTTCTTCTGCTTGCAGATTTATCGAGGTGTTTCCAGTTTGTGCATCGCTCATGCTATTGCGTAAACAATTAGAGGACCTGAGGAATCCTGTTACACCACTACGTTTGCTGCGCCGTGTGTTTTTTCTAAGAAGGAGATGTGTGCTCGACTTCACACATTAAATACTTTAAAAGCAGTTTGATAGGTGTGATCAACTACCAGGACAGTTCAAGCAAAAGGCACTATATCATATATAGCATCATATATCCAACATGTGGATCACAATGCTTTGGAATTCATGTGACACAGGTGTGAGCGTCGTGAGCGCGAGCCTTCCTCGGGCTCGCTACAAGCAGCGCCTGGGCGATGTCGCCTTGAGGCGCTGTAGCGGATGAGCCATGCCATGGGAAGCCCATCACAAGGTTCGCTACTAGGAGCAAAGGGCATCGCTACGAACGGAACAAGGACGCTACTAGGCGCTCCTGGCCTTACTGCTGGTAACAAGAAGCTAAGTACAGGAACAGCATATGGTAGATATTATGTTCTGATCTAGAAGAAATAGAACGGAAAACAGGAGCTTCGGTGGAAGAGGGGCGCCGGGGAGGGCCGAAGGTGGAGGGCTGGTTGGGAGATCTTAGTCTAGCTGTTGAAGACGGTTGAGATTCCTTAGAACTGTTTGAACCTTGTGTTAAACATGTTTTTTGTTGTTGTACTGTCTTTTGTATACATTGAACATCTCAAAACTCTACCATGTTTAGATTTTTATGTTGTCAATGCATTGATTGACGGCTCGCGTTGACAATTGATAGCATGGATATGCATGGATATACCCTGACTGTTTGTTGATCGATTTGTGGGCTGTCAGACAGGCCCCTACAATCCATCGGCTCGTTGGCATTGTTTGACGTTTATCCGAAGAAGGAAGCCGACAAGTGCTCACACAAGTCGCTTACGTGTTCTTTTGTGATCATGAAAGATAGTGCTTGCCCAGCACTTCAGCTATTCCTTGTGCCTTTTCAATTTGAACAGGCCACAGTCAAGTTCACCCACAGCCAAACCTGTTCCATTCTCGTTCGCCAGGGCCTCCCGGGGTGAGCTTTCAGAGGCCGGTGGAGAGTTTTGGATCGGTCGTGACCACTGCCACTGTGGTAGCAGATGGTTTTTGTTATGTTTTGTGTGCTTGCTCAGACCAGTCTGGGGGAGGCTGCTACTGGGTGGAAGTTGCGCTTTTCAGCCGTGTATGGGAGACATCCTGCTTTTTGATCCCTTAAGATGAACACGTTGTCCTTGGTTCTTCCCACTTGAAGCTGCTGAAACAGTGCCAGCTGTCGCTGCTCGCAACACTCACAGATCCTGTCCCTTGATTACCGATCCCAAGTCGTCCAACTCCGTCCAACCTAAGTAGGGCTGGTCGTTTCTTTTTGGGCAAGAACGGAGGCCAACCTGGCCACCTTTCTTTGCTGGATTGGGCGTTTTAGTCTTAGGTCAAGCAAGAGGAAGGCCCCACCCAGCAGCGAAGCAACATTTCTTCAAAGATGTGTTTGAAAGTCTTGTTTTACTTAGAACATGGGTTTCATGTTTCGCATGTTTTCGGACGGTTTTTTTCTGGCTGAAACAGCTGGCAGGACCGGGTGGGGGCCGAAAGTCAGCCACAAAGAAGGAGAGAGAAGAAAGAGAGAGCTGTACACCTGAGCGCCGTGGGATGGTGTGTGTAAAACACCACTATCCTTTTTTGAGGAATTGGTGAGAGAGACCCCCAGCAAGATAGACAAATGATTGGAAGTGAGCGTTTTTTGCTAGGACTGACTTGGCCGTCAATGCTCTCTCATACATGCCTTAGAAAGGGAATGGCCCATGAGTTTAGAAATCTGACGGGTTGTGTGTACATACTTCAACCTCAAGTCGATCGCCCGCGGTGGTTTGTTCCGCATCAACGCGAGACGAATGGTCCGTGCCAGGATTTGACTCGCAACCATCCAGGAGAAAGCTGTATTTGATTGTCATGGGACGTCCGTGGTTCAGAACGCGAACAGTGGGCTATGGGGAAACAGTTGGAAAAAACAAAACAGTGATCGAATCAATTCCGGAATTTGGTCAGGAACGTCCGTGTCCTCGAACTACAGGGGAGCTTTCAATCTACTTTTAGATATACATATGACATGTATAGTATATATAATTATATATATATAGAGAGAGATACATCTATCCTTGGACACGGTCAAGAAGCATGTGCGGGTTGACCTTCTCGCAAAGATTGATTGGAAGCCTCGCTTAACAAATTGAGGTTCCGGTCTTCCGGTTGTTGAGTTATGCCAGGTGCCAGCATGGTGCCCCACCGTGTTGATGTGGCCATGCTGGTGAAAGGAACATTGACTGCGGGCACCACATCCAATTCCAAGTTCAACAGCTGAATAGGTTCTGATTTTTCCCCATGACTTAGTGCAGAATGATTGTTTGACTCCGACAAGTACTCCGACACTGACACGGCCACAAGTAGAAACTGACCTGATGTCAAATGCGATGTTCTTCTCATGATTATATATCTACCAGGAGTGACACCCAAAGCCATACAAGAATGTACTTTCACCACCTGCGGACTGATTCACCCTGATTTTGAGAAGCTGAACGCCTCACCTTTGTTTGTCCAAATTGTCTGGGACACTTTGGGATGCCCCTCCCCTGGTAGCAATGGCCCATCGACCCCAGCTCGGCTCGACGGCGTCGCGGTGGGCTGCCGAAACCGGGCGGCCGAAGACCGCGGGCGGCCGCCGGACGCGTCAGTGGGCGCGTCACGCGCCGGCGGGACGCGATGTACTTGGTGCCCCAGAAGTCCACCAAGGATCCACGGATAACGCAGAAGGGGCGATTTTCAGCCACTTGGGCTGAGTCCACATGGAAAGAAGAAGCTGTTTTCTTTTCTTTGATTGGATGATGTCAGTATCATGGGTGATTTGTAAGGCTGTAAGGTGTCTTTAGTATGTTTGGCGATTTTTTGTATTCTTGTCATTCCAAGTGCTGTCATCGCTTTGAGCATGTAGTGAGTCAACCCTGCAGAAGGAGCCCCAATGTGGGTCAACTCAACATCATTTGATGGGTGCTTTCAAGATCATGTCCCCTTTGGTTTGATAGATGATATAATGTCAACATAGGATTGACCACCCCCCCTATTCATCAAGCCCAGCTGGAGCCTCCAATACTAAACTAATTAAAACCCTGCAACCTCCCCTTGATAATTTATGTTCCTTGCCAGAACCCCCTATTGATCAAGCCCAGCTCCCCCAGGAAAATAAATATAAGTTGTTTTTTGAAAAATTATATTTATTTACCATTACTTTCTTTTTGGCTAGTATCTAAGATCTTCTGGTCCCTAAAAACGGCTCGAGCAAAATTATTTCATTTCCCCTTATTAAAACTCTATCAAAATCTTAACGTTTTCTAGCTCACAAAGGGTACCCCTCTCACAGGCCTCAATGTTCACACAGAATCATATCAACCATCATCCATCATCAGGTCATCATCTTTATTAAGGGGATGTCGTCTCCAAAACCTCCAATCTCAAACCCTGAGGGGGGGGGGGTGATTAATCCTACGTCGACATTAGAAGCCAAGTATAGCCAAGTCATCGTTTCTGGCCTCTCCACATCACGCCATGCCTCGTCCTTTGCCTTTGAAGTCTTGCGAGGCATGGCTCATCAAAGCGCGAAGTGACGGAGCGAACGCCAAGTGGTTTCAGAGCGTGGGGCGTCGGCCGCTTGGGTGCTGAACAGGGAGGTGAAGGAAACGCGGAAAAAGGATGAAAAAGGGCAGGAAACCTGAAGGGAATAAAGAGAGGCATTGGGAGCGCATGGGAGAGAGAACCCGCAGGAAAATGAGGAGCGACTGAGGTGATGTGACCTCTGGGACGGTCGATCGATCGTCTGTCATCGCCCGTCCCAATAGCGAGAGAGAGAGAGACTCTTCGTACTCGAATCACGTGACGCAGACACTAGGATATTGTCATTATAAATATGTAGCCAGATTTATGTTATACATACAAAATCCGAAGTAGGCAAGTTGATGCCGCGATCCAGCAAGAAGGACAGGTGTGAAGTATATATATATATACACATGCACTTTGTGATCTAGGCCCCTGTAAGTGTGACATGATGGCTGCATTCTGGTACAATCTAAGGCCAGCCTAAGGCGGATTATAAACCTGCATGCCGCTGTCCGAAACAAGACAACAGGAAGGTAGGTGAAGTGGAGAAAACCGTAGAATTTGTTGGAGACCAGTGTCTCAAGTTTTTCACCAGACCCTTACACCAGCCAAACACCAGAGACCCGCCATGAATCGCGCATTGCTCTCACCGATGTTCCGAATGAATCTCGAAAGATCTCCCAGTGTGGCCCAGGTATTTTACCCTAGATTTCGACAAACGTCTCTTCTACTACACTCACACCGAGAGCCGGCAGGCTCAGGCAAGATCTTCTATTGATGTATTCTTTCCATCGGTCGGCTTGGTTGGTTTCAGATTTTGAGACCTCAGCTGCACGGCAGACGGAGACCTAACACTGTTTAGGATGTTTAGGAGCTTTAGGAGCAAAGGGGCGGAAACCATTTTGCTTCGAAGTATCAGTAGGCTCCTCAGGGTCGAGCTCCACTCAAGAGTGGTGTTTTCAGGTCCTGTGCTGCTTGATCATGGCACCAACCCTTCGCGCCTTTCACATCCTTTCACCCCCTTTTTCATGCCACAAACCGAGCGGAGGCGTCCACACCGATCAAATTTGCCGACATCTTGGGAGCTCATTTGGGGCACAACTTTGATCCAGATCCAGTCGCTTGGTGCCTCCACGGCCAACCCGCTGCTGTTTGGAGGATTCAGCTGGTGAATGAATTTGAACGACTAGTATAAATGTATGTATAGTCCATTCCATTACAGGCCTAGGGGGAGCCGTTGCCCATCCTCTCGATACATGAAATGGACACTTTTCTAGAACACCACTTCTATGTGAAGAGACACTTCAACTTGGCAGACTCACTTCAATGTACACTCCATGGAAGTGGGAACGTCCAATTTTTCCTCATCATGTTCCTCTCTACACTCTAGCTCCAAGGCGGCCTTCCATGTCCATGGATGTTTTTCAGACTACTCAGATGTGTCTGTCGATCCATGTGACATATCGATGTGAGGATTGTGGGCAGCATGGCTTCTCACGACCCTTTCGGCGACACCTACCCGGTACCTTTCCCTTCACGGTTCGCACCAAAGGAAAGAGGCGCCTTTCAAAACCCGTTGGGAAGAGGAACTGGGGATCCCTCAGGAAAGAATACATATATATACATATATATTGGGCTTGTCCGTTCTTAAGTCTTGCCTGTAACAGTCAGTAAACAAGTGTCACTATTTTTAAAACAAGGCCTTTACTAACCATCATCCACTGTTACAGGTATTAGGATAGACCCTATATATATATATATGTTTTTTCTCAAGAGAACAAGAAGCCATAGACGTAGAGCAAACCAATGTTTTCAGATTGGAAGTTTGAGCCTAGAGCCTGCTGTTGGTGTTTCTTGATGTTGGTGCAAGGTGTGGGACCATGTGGGATTGTGGGTTTTGACCATCATCGCAATGGGACATATTGCTGAAACAGCTGCAACTCTAGCACATTGCCTCATGAAAATCAAACATCGATGGAGTCACTAGCTGTCTCAAATGGCGACCTGGAGTTCGTATTATTGCCAGCATCTTATGTTTCGTTTTGTATAATGGGGATACTCAACATCGGCATCTCCAAGAAGGGGAGGAAACGACATAGTTATTCTTGTGTGTGTGCATTTGTGGGCGCTGAAGAGCATCGTTGTTGTTTTGTCATATTTTGTCATCAATGAGGAGATTGTCAGCCTGTCTAGAGCTCCCAGGCAGGCCAACTTCAATTTCACACCTCCCTCGCCAACTGAACGAGTGCTCCATCCTCTATGTCTATCTATTTCTGACAGACCCCTAGAAATCCCAAGACATTTCACCCCCCTGGGGCAGCAGTTTGGGTGCTTCGGATCATCTCCTTGTTCGGAAGACTGGAAGACCTTGAAAGACCCATGAAGGCCCCACGGGGGCGGTCAACATCGTTTTGGGAGCCGAACCATGCCGTGTTTTTTGCGCCGTTCCAACCCCTCCATCTGCATCAGAGTTGCCTCAGACTCACTCCACTCAGACTCCAAACCCGGCTCCGATCCCGCTCCGCAGGTTGCGTTTGGAGGCGGAGGAAGAGCCGGACGCCTTTCAGTGGATCAGCCTCCTCAACGCGGCTCACCGCATCGGCGCAGAGGTGGATTTGCTCCAGAGCCTCCCGGCGAAGCGGAGCGAACCGGCACGGTCTAGGCACGGTTGGAGTCGCTTGAAAGTGTCACCGAGAAGCGACCAAAAAGACGGGTCAGTGGGAGGACCTTGGATGATCTTGGATGTTTTGAGGTAACTGTAACATACTGTAACTTAACGTGGTCTCGATTCGATCGTTTCCGATCAAAGCGTCATCAACTTGATATTGGCTGGATTTCGAATATCAGCCATCCCTTGCCCTTGGCGGATGTTGTTCTCGGGTCCTGCAGCGTGGCTCAAGCCGAAAACGCTTTTGCTTCCGCTTTTGCATAGCGCCGAGTGGCCTCATGTTGCGGCTGCTCTTGGCCTTGCCCTTGGTCTCAGGCGTCTCGGATCCAGGGCATCCCAGCTGCTCCACGCCAGGCGGAGTCCGGATCGGTTGGGAGCGGATTTGGATAAGACTGGCGAGATGAGCAGCTTGTTCATGTGAAATTGGTGAAGTGAGACATGAAGAATGGCGCGATATTTGTAATTAGAGGAATGATGTTGACATGGTCCAAAGGCCATGTCTATGCGACCAGTAGTGAGTGACTACCATGCTTTAGTAGCTTTAGTATCCTTAGAAGAATTGACAATCATGTTGTTTTTGTCTTGTGTGCTTGTTCTTTCCGAAGTCTCCGCTGG